ATTCCGATTTAAAACAATAGGAGTGAAAGCAAGAAATGGGAATAAGTGGAAATGCAGATGAGAATAGACCGACATGCATGGGAAAGAAAATGGAGAGTGAGATAGCTAGAGAGGCACAGAGAAAAGGCTTAAAAGAGGAATGGTTTAAAAGGTATACAGCGAGGGGGAAATTAAGTTGGCTAATTTAGTGGCTGGTCCCAACAAACGTATGTTAAAAACAAGTGATCATTATGCTATATCATACATTTTCGAATCATTACATGGGCATTCTCTCTTATGCCTTTTTATTTGAACCTCAAAATCTGCCACAAGAGCCTGACCGACAACCATAGATCTCTGCCGACATTGACGGATACTTTTGCACCCATTTATTTCTTTCTTTCTTTGAGTTGAGGACTCTTGCAGTGTTTTGACACTTTTCCGAAGGTTAATTCATGAGACTACCAAAACAAAATCAAAGAATAATGGACCGCACATCTCCAAAATTTGCAGGGTATGGCAACCCCCTCCCTCCGAATAATAAAAATCAAGTTTGTAAAATTGAGTAAGGGCGACAGTGTTTTTTAGAGTTACATGTATTTGTTACCCTGTCCGCCCCACGCCCCAATCATATCCCCACAGTACATCCCTAAAAAGTAAATGAAAGAGCGCTATCTGTCAGGTTGTCAAGAACAAACTTTGTTTAAGGAAGCTGTAATATTATGCTTAAAACTTGAATATGTTGGTAAACATGCCCCAGGGCGGCGATTTCTTTTCATGACCGGGGGTGGGGGTGGGGGGCGAAATGTGAGGGACGAGGGAGCAGTGACGTAATGAGCAAAAACGTTTTTTTTTTTGGGGGGGGGGCAGAAAAAAAATCTGCATCACCACCACTCGCACATGTTACATTTCAAAGTGGGGGGGGGGGGAGGGGCTTAACTATTTACCATCAGGTAGAGCAAAGCGAGAGAAGCAAGTGGAGCGTAAATTGGCGCGGTCCAGGGGCGTAGCCCCAAGAAGCTCAGGGGTTTTAGGCATTTAATTACGGTCAGATAAACATCCAGGGGCCCACCATAGGGCCCCTGATGGAGTCCAGGAGGTGGAGCCCCCAGCAAGTCACTAATTGGAGTGGGGTCCAGGGGCCAGAAGCTCAGGGCCCGTGCCTTAATGCCCTGGTGGGGCTCAGGGAGCGGAGTCCCTGGAAGCTCAGGGGTTTAAGGCATTTAATTGCGGTCAGATGAGCAACCAGGGACCCGCCCTAGGCTTCCTGGTGGGGCCCAGGGGGCAAAGCCTAAGGAAGCTCAGGGAAAAAACATTCCATTTCAGCAACATTTATAAATAACTAGTATCGAATAAGTAATAAACCACGTTTGAATTTTATTTCCAAGCCCCTCCCCCCCCCCCCCCCCCCAGATCAGTACGCCAGTGCGAGGGAGCATAGTGAACGAGAGGGGTAAAGGTGACGAAAGTGACTACCCCTCACAGGATTTTGAAGTTTTGTTGTATTAAAAGATTACATTCCTTAGCAAAACTACAGTATAAAAACAAGCAATATACTTTTTATACTTTTTTCACACTTCACTTGTCTACAATATTTATTTGTACATTTAAAGGATATTATGCGAGGGAATTACCGAGCGAGAAGATTTTTGCATTTTTATTTGTCTAAAAGCTGCACTCTTGTGCCTTCCAGAGCCTAAAAGTAAGTTGCAATCTTTAGTCAGTTCTTGCTATACATTTTGGGGGGTACTTTTTCAAATTTTCCGGGGGGTGGGACGATCCCCCCTAAACAAATGTCCCCCTGGGATCACCGCCCCAGATTTACAGGCCGATTGAATCCTTTTCCCCAAACAGAATCACTACACTCCATCCCTCTGATAAGTCAAATTAATTTATAATATAAAAGAAGTCTGTGTACGGGGCACCTGTTTGAATTCCATTAGTACAAAAAAGAAAAATCAGTTTAGGGACCGCCTCAAAATAAAGCGAGACACCGACTGGGTTCTATAAGGAATAGGGGCAAATAAATGTACGCACAATCTGATATCTCATCCCTATTCTTCTATGTCATCATCACCGTCATAATCATCATCAGCACCGCAGCCTAACATGAAACGTTTTCATGGCTAATAATTGCCATCATCATTTTCTCCATGATCAATTTCCAAAACAAATATATCGGAATTCTAGGACTAGTTGAGACTACATCAAGCACAAAAGTTGACAAAGACATGCAAATGCTTATACATTACAAAATGTTTATTCATTGTTGCATAGTATCTACATTAATTTTATTTACCCCTGATACATATATAAATGAATATATTTATGTTTCTTTTGCATTATGTTTTTTGTTTAGATGCAGCAGTAAACCAATAAAAAAAAGACATATCTGGAATGAAATTAAATATGTAATATATACGCAAAATACATCATTCATGTATGAAACAAAGAACACATAAAATGCATAAAATTTAAAAAAAAACGCCAACGGAGATGTTCATATTTTGCTAGTAATCAAGGCTTATACACATACTTTTTAGGCAACACATGTAAGCAGAGAAAATGTATAAAACTTATTTTAAAACATGAAATTCATATAAATACATGTTTACTATTTCTATCATTTCTGGCACTCTTTTCTTCCCCCCAGGATTTTAAAAATAATGTTAATTATATTTCTTTAAATTCAGAAACAGCATCAGCAAACAAAAAAGACAATAGTGAATTAAAACAGAATCTATAATTCAGGAATCCATCACACTATATGTATAGAAAGATATAAGCACACAAACAAACGCTACAGTAAAACAAACACGTCTGATGAGAGAGCCAGAAGGGTATTACATTCAATATAAAACTGTATATGGTTAACATATATGGTTAACAGTACACACTGATTCAGCCAAGGACGCAGGTTCAAAACTGAGTCATGTCTTTCGGAAGGTGAAGAGTCCCCAGACCGGCCCAAGACGTAAATAATCATATCTGATTGATACACGTCTGTAAAAACCCATTTACACACTCTCTTACTCCTCTTAGATGGATTTGAAAAGTATATAATCACAAAAATATATATAGTGATATCTGTGTATAAGGACCACACATGGGAGATGAAGAAAGCAGTCTTCATAGGTAGGTGGTCTTTCTATACAGGTTCCTTTACTACAGGTTTCAATGACAAGCGATCCTCGAGGGAGACAAGACATGTGGTCTTTGTAGACAGGTTTGACTGTATTAGCACTTACATATACAGCTACTCTATGCATAGACTATGCAATTAGATGTGAAATATAGTCTCATTACTTCATCCAATGATTTCTGCCATTATTTATACAAAGACATGTTTTGATTGGCGAATAGCTGTAAGTAAAAGGTAGAATACAGTTAACTACTAAATTATTTATACCTCTGGTAAATTTGATGTTTTTTGTGTTTTTTCGTAAATCAAGAATGAAAAGTGGTCTGGTTGAATTAGGGCCTTTGTTGAATATTTTTTAGATGTAAGCTTTAATGTGTCATATTTTCAAGAAACATTAAAAAGAGACAAATCAATTTGATGTACTTAAAAATTTACAAAACTTGGTAAAGGAAGGAATAAGAAGCAGCTAATAACTGTAAGTAAAAAGTAGACTACAGTTAACTACTAAATTATTTATACCTCTGGTAAATTTGATGTTTTTTGTGTTTTTTCGTAACTCAAGAATGAAAAGTGGTCTGGTTGAATTAGGGCCTTTGTTGAATATTTTTTAGATGTAAGCTTTAATGTGTCATATTTTCAAGAAACATTAAAAAGAGACAAATCAATTTGATGTACTTAAAAATTTACAAAACTTGGTAAAGGTAGGAATAAGAAGCAGCTAATAACTGTAAGTAAAAAGTAGACTACAGTTAACTACTAAATTATTTATACCTCTTGTAAATTTGATGTTTTTTGTGTTTTTTCGTAACTCAAATTTTTTTTACAGGGCCCTGGTATCAGAAACACAAACTCTTCGAATTAAACCTGAATAACTATAATAAAAACAGACAGAATTTGGAATGGCATTTTCCCATAAAATGTTGGTGTAGTATATAAATAGATACAAAGATACACACAGTTACAATATATGTTTTTTAAGTGTAAATATACTTATCAAGGTGTATGTTATCAGCCACAAAATGATATACATGGAAATAAAGGCATAACATCTGCATGCAAATATATATATTCAATTCAATCACACTGCGAATAAAAAATGCAAGATTTAAATGATAAGTACTATTGTGGTAAAAAGACAATTTGAGATAGTACTTACAAAATATATATGGTACTTATGAAAAGTAAGTACTATACATGTACATGTAGGGAATTCAAGGTGATTTCAAAGTGATTCGAGACTTTTTTTTCACTCTCTCTCTCTCTTTTCTCTCTCTCTCTCTCTCTCTCATTTCTCTCTCTTTCTCAATGCATTTCTTTTTCTAGCAAATATAGATAGAACATAAAACATTTTGCAGCTAGGGAAGGAAGAGGGGTCATCATTGGTGGGGCACAATAAATCTACATAATTTGGGCCCCTAAAAAAGTCCAGCATAGCATAGTGCGAAGTACACAAACAGCAAACATCTCACTACATGATGTCAGGATGTGAAATTACCAAAGAAATAAATCATAATCTAGAACAATATTAAAAAAACACAAAGGGGGGTCTTTCACAAAGATTTTAGGTCGAACTTAACTCGTAAGTTGGACAAAGATATATAGTTGAGTTCTGGTCATGCGATTGAATTGTGAGAGAAACGGTGTAGAATCGATCAGAAAAGGTTGATCATCTAGCATATAAGTATTAGTGTGTACTGCAACAGTGCAAGGTTCTCAACCTTTAAAAGTTATGTAGAGCCATTTGTAGCCTTTACTTAAGATATATTCAAAAGCGAAACTTCCAAGTATTTTTGACTTTTTTTATAAATTCCACATCAGGAACATGAAATCTCTGTGATAATAGAAAATATGAATGATTTGAATCAATATTTTATGCCTTTCAAAAAAACTTTTACAAAATATATCATAGATGCTGACGGCTTTCCATAATGGTTAAGTCTAACTTAGAGATAAGTTCAAGTTAGGATCTTTGTGAAACTTCCCCAAGGTGTATCAGTATCACAGATAGCCATATATAATACTGTGATAATTTGAGATGATATGTAATGTACAAATGCATACAAATTTACACTATGAACATGCAGTTGGTACAGTGACAATTCGACTAAGCATGATCTTCATCTATATCCTACACAGTCGCACAACATTAACGTTCTTCATACTGCTCTTAAAATTTTGAGAGTTGAGTAATATACTAATAAGTAACATGTCATATTGAATGAGTCAAGCACCAATAGGTAACAGGGAATTCCCTACACTCAAATATCAAACAAATTCTTTGGTAATATTAAAGGGAGTGTGTCATGAAAAGACTGTGTCTTTCTCGTGGCTCTACCTGGGGCCAATCAGGTATAATGACTACGGACGACGCGACCGCAGCTTTCACGTGCGTGCAACATACGCGAAACCGGAGCGTGAGGAGAACTTGGGTCTGTTGTGCGAACGCTACTGCGCACGCTGACCCAGTTAATCAAGTCCATTTGTTTATGTGCAGTTGTCCAAAAGAAGACGTAGATGGCATTAACCAGTATTTGCCATGAAACATTCCCTTTAAAGCAAAAATATTTAATCCTAAATTTGGCAATTTATTATAATGCAGTACTGCTCGAAATAAAGTTGAGATCCTTACACCATGTCACAAGAAACTCTATACAATGATACATGCACTAATGAGTGACACAGAGTATGAGTGTTTACTTTATTTTTCAGCTATACTGTTATGTTGAAAAGAAGTAGGAAAATACTAAACAGCGACTGAATGAGTAATTGTTCTCCAAATGCAATTGATCATCTATTATTCCTGTTAGCCCACATAAACAATTACGACTTTGTGAACCAGGTGGCTAATGAAAAATTAGACAGAATAAGCATTGTGATCTTGTCTCATGTGAATAATGTAGAACCCACTGTAGTAAACGCTTGTAAAAGGTGAAGTTCACAATCCTTCCTAAATTGGTATTGAAAACAGGGAGGTAACATTGTGAGGAAAAAGCATTATATTTTAGATCAACAAACTATTAAAACATTACTGTCATATGTCTAAAACATTCCAGCATTTTCGACCTGTCGCTCCGTCGCTACACCAAAGTTCGTCTCAGGGTAAGGGATTTCATCTGATTTCTTCTTCTTAAAAATCTTTCCAAGTCCACCAGACATCTTCCTCCCTCCAAACATCCTTTCCCTTTCCATCTCCTCTCTCTCCATCTCTCTCTGTCTCGCCCTCTCCTCTTCCCTCTCCTTCTTTCTAGCCTTCTTCTCCTGTTCTCTCTCCGCTTTCCTCTCCATCCTCCTCATCAGTTTGCGATCGACGTGCAGGTCGTCTGAGAGCTTGATGCTGTCGTCTGCATTTGGGAAGACCGGGAACTGGGGAGACATGCCCCTAGAGTCGTCTCCGTTGCTATGGGGATTTGAGTTGTTAGCAACCTCGGCGGGGGCTTCTCCGACCTCAACATAAATGTTTTCCTCAGCTCCTCCTGACATATCAAATGTAGAGTCTGGACTGAGTGGAGGAGGGTCCACTGCGAGACTCAAGGGTCTTGGTTCGCTGTGTTCCCCCTCATCTGCAAACAATAAAGAAGATTTTCAGATGTAATGTTGGAATTCAATTCTAGAGTGATGCATTAAAGTTGCAAATGCGTGGGTATACAGTGTGAGTCCAAAAAAGGTTACACCTAGAAATTTGCTCATGCACTCTCGCAAACAATGCCTCTTGTTCATCTAAGCATGAACACATACCACACAAAAATGATACCAAATGATTTGGGATAAAACACTCTTTCATATGATGTATTACAATTTACTGTTCATAGATGATTTTTAAACTAATTAGCAATTTTCTAGGTGTAAACTTTTTTTTGACTCACACGGTATAGAGGGCAGCACACCGAGCCAACCGGTATAACGCTCCTGTGCGTACTAGTGTCCCTTTATGCGTACATCCGTACAGGAGCGTAATACCTGTTGGCTCAGTGTTCGCCAAGTTGCCTACTTTATGAACGACTATAAACCCAAGCTTGAGCCTCCTTAACTATTGAGTTTGAGTTCATTTTAGCTACTATACAACCAGAAACATTTGTGTACAAGAAAATGTAATCATTTTTTGATAGGTCTACATTATAGACTCTTTAAAGTTGTCATGCCACATATTAATTGAAAAACAACATTTAATGAAGTTTGTCTAAAGTCTAAAGTTTGCTAAAGTCCCTTGCCACAAAAAGCTGACTAAATTTAAGTCTCTTTAGTATCAGGTTGAAAATTAATTTTGTGACTTCATTCTTAAGTCTGGACTCGCCAGGTTCTCCTTCATCTAACCAAAAAGAGGAGAGATAAAGGGAGAGACAGACTGAAAGATAGAGAGACAAAGAGAGAGAGAGAGAGAGGGGGAAGGGGGGGGGGGGAGAAGAGAACAGATGAAAATAGAGAAAAGAAGAGAAAATGAGAGAGAGAGTGAGAGCACACTCAGCACACACTTTTCATTAATTGACAGGGGAAAGAGAAGACAGAAATAAATAAAGATGAAGGGAAAAGAAACAGAAAGAGAATATATCCTACCTTCTGAAAGGACTTCATCTTTGTTGACTGGTACTGGAGGAGGGTATGCATCTCCAATCATCGCCTGACTGACCAGCACTACGCCAGGATTATCAGGGCTGATAGAGGGCGACAGACAAAGAAAGAAAAGAACCAGTTCTCAAATATCAATTCAATGATTCAATTGGGTATTTATGCACACAAGTAGTCAGTGAAAGTCAATATGATATCAGCGTTGACTACAAGATGGGGAGAGTACATGTAATTGTAGCCGAGTGGAGATGCGAAGTTCGAGGGTTCGAATCCTGACACGGCACTAATATCCTTTGGCAAAATATTAACCTGCACTTGCTACTCTCCACCCAGGTGTTATATGGGTATCCGGTAGCGACCGTCATTGTTGGTCAAACAGTTTTTGAACTTCAAGGAACGCCTGGCTGGAATATGCCTCAGGGAGTGGAGATCGTGCACACAATGTGTGCGGGCATGCAAGCATTGAATCCATTGACTGGTGTAATATTATATCTGAAAAGCGCTTAGAGACATATTAGATGTATTAAAAGCTATATAAAAGCGGAATATTATTATTATACTTTGTGATTTACAAAGTAAACAAAAAGACAAAATTTAAAAGATCATTTGTTGCCATTTTGAGACTCACTTTTTATAGATGACATCAGACAGGCCTTTCCATCTTCTCCTTTTCTTCTTCTTCTCTTCACCGAGGTCGGACGCATCTGACCTTGGCGACACCTCCAGGGAGTCTCCCCTCTGACCTCCTCCCCGTGCCCCGCCCAGATCGTATGCAGAGTCGGACGACAGCCCGGTCTCGTCCGGCGAGAAGTTCTCGTTGACCATGGAGAGGTCGTAGACGCCTTTCTGCGAGCCACCGCTGTCATCCACAGTGGAAGCAACGGAAATGGAATCACCGTACGAAAATCTGATATTAGTTCAAGGGTCGTGTCATGCATGGGGGCAAGGGGTCGTATGGGAAATGGCAATTTTTGTACGGATCGGTTTAGCAGCATGGTATTTCAATGGGGTTTGGCAGCATGGTATTTCAAGGGTGTTTGGTATTAACAATTTGCACAGGTAGAGTGATAGCATAATGTAATTCAAGACAAACGGTAAGAAGAGTTTAGAATAAGAATAAAAAGTTGATGGGAATGCAAGGACAAGAATATGAATACAGAGGAAATTAATAAACAATGGTTGATGTAAACATTCAGATTATGACATATAACATAAAGAAGGTCATACAATGAACCACACAGGTCATGTAACATTGATAAACGTGTAAATACGGAAAAGAAAGATGAGGATTGAAACTCATCAATAAATTACAGACAAACATATAACAGTACCAAGACATAATGGGGGGGGGGGGGGGGGGGAAGAAAAGATATATCAATAGGTACAAAGAATGCCAGAAAATGAAAAGAGAAATAGAATGGAAAATCACATTAGATGGCACATAAATTGTGAAACATGTTACATATCAAACGATGATGGCATTGTTGTGACGTTTCATGTATAATAAAAATATTGCATTTTAAACAGAATGTAATGTATTAACATTGATACAAAAGGAATGCATGCATGCAATTTAAGTTATGAAAGAAACATTGAGGTAAAAGCCACATGAATGAGAAAAGGGTTCATGCATCATGAAAAGGAAAATGGAAAAATGAAGATATAAAAGAGATTAGATCAGTACCCAGATCACCAGAATATAGAGAAGAGTTATCCACAAAGCACAAAGCTTATCAACGGAAATCTGTAAGAAATAGACCAAGTTTATCGAATGTGATATGCATACATTGTGCATACAATAGTTGCACATGGGAGTACAGCTTGTGTATTAGAAAAGTGATGTATGCATTCCACAGTACTAAATATCTTAATTTTGAAGGATTTTTAATATCATAGCGCATAGATCCATGACGAAAACAGTCCATTTAAACTTCACCCCACTTTGGACCCGAAAGTGGGGTGCATTTTGGTGGTAAGCTCACCACAGAGCAATCTGCAGTATAAACAAACTTTGCCAGGACATCGCCAGCCCAACCTTGATAAGTACTGCTTGGAACTCCTCCATGATGTTCTAGTCTTATTCGCAGTCTCATATAGGTTCGGATTATGTCCATTCTCATAGCTACCGGTATACATGGGAGATGCCAGTTTCATCTTCCTTGCTTCACTTTATAAGCATAGTTATATCAGGAACTTCCTGGTGATAATTATGTTCCTTTCAAGTTTCATCATAATTGTCTAGTTCGATATAGTACATGGACACAATTAAATATGATATTGTCTAAAATTGTCAAAAATATCTTAACATCGAAATGATTTCTGGTCATGTTTAACTATTTTAATTGAAGCCTTTTTACTTGATCTAATACTTTCATGAGGATGACATAGTCCGCAATAAACTTGACAAACATTATCATCCATACTATATGTCGTAGTTTATAACAATAATTACTCATGAACCTCATACCTCTCACACTACAAGGACAACATTCATCCAGATTCTGAGATTGCTCATTCTCACGAAGCTTGGTGTACGCGAAGATATCGGGAAAGAAAGCGGTCTGTAATACCAGACACGCAAGTGGGGTATTTCGGTCCCCGTTCACCGAAAAGTGAGATTCTCCATTTGAAAGTCGGGTAAGGTCGACAAATATAGCCTCTGTTAAAGGCGTTACTCCACCACCCAATTCGGAACAGCTTGCCACATGCAGTATCGTGAATGCGCCCGGCACTCTGAGCGGCCGTTTTTCAGTGTATTTTCTTTTAGTGTTCTTAAAAATTCGCCGTGTCGTTTGATCAAAGAGGTACTGGGCAAGCTTGCCTATTAATGATTTGGTTCAATACATAAGCCATCTAACCTTTATGTTTTAAGGTAATGATTATATTTATGCAGAAAAACTAAAATACTTGTGACAGTGCGATTATTTCAAGTCGCCCTTTTTAGGTTATTATGCAGCAACATGACCAATCAAAGTTTGGTCCAGTTAACGCTTGTTGGTTGGTGTTTTTTTTTAAAGTTTATTTGTCCAATTAACTTCTTTATCTTCTCAATGTTTCCTTTCCATGTTTCCTTTCCATGTTTCCTCATGTTTTTCACTATTATCACCTTTGTTCTATATACCTTTCGGCTGATATTAATCTTTATTTTTCTCCTTCTTTCAACATCTCTTTTCTAATTTTCATTATATATTTCTTTATTTTCTCCTAATTTTATCTTCTTTAGCCATCTTTCCTTATGCCCTTCTTTATTTTCTCCGTCTTTCTAATTTTCATCTTTCCTTATTCCTATTCCTCTATTTTCACCTTGTTTTATTCTCTCTATCTTTTCTCATGTATTTCTTTATGTCTTACCTTCATTATCTTCTGTTTCCATCTTTCCCTGTGTATTTCTTTTTAAACCTTCTTTTATCTTCCTTTTCCATCTTTCCTTATGTTATTCTTTATTTTCTCCTAATTTTATCTTTTTCATCTTTCCTTATGTATTCCTCTATTTTCACCTTGTTTTATTCTCTCTATCTTTTCTCATGTATTTCTTTTTTTTTCTAACCTTCTTTATCTTCTGTTTCCATCTTTCCTTATGTATTTCTTTTTAAACTTTTTATCTTCCTTTTCCATCTTTCCTTATGCTATTCTTTATTTTCTCTTCCTTCTTTCCCTCCATTTCCATCTTTCCTTATTATCACCCGTCTTTCCCTATTTTATCCTCCCTTTATATTTTCCTTCTGCATTTTTCCATTTCCAAGCACATCAATGTTCTCTTCAATACGTAAAAGAAACTTAAATAGCTAGTACTTGCTAAAAAAAAAATATGAAGTGAGACTTTAGACACACTGAATCCAGGCCTATTATAAATATAGGTGTAGGGTCTGCGATGAGAAGACTATGAATCTGGACTGGATATCAGATACCAGCTGGTAATCCCTTTATCAGTAACTAGGCTATGATTGGCCGCTGTCTCTCTCCCCATGGACCCTACTGGTAATCCCTTTATCAGTGGTCAGTGCTCCTATCAGATTATGGTAGCTCCAGGAAAAATGGTGAACTGGTGAGCAGAGCTCAAATGAGATGTTTTCCTAATGACAACATGCTGGCAAAAGAAATTTTCAGACTGACAGCTTTACACATACCAGTAACTAGAATTTTAACAACACAATTATGTCTTGTATGTGTACGTCTTCATTACATAATATCAGTGTGCAATTTAGATGAAGTTGTACGTTCTTTCAAAAACAGAGGGCGCAGTATGATTATAAGATGAGTGGGTGTCTTAACATATGAATTTAAATACTTTTAATACAGATATAGAGGGAGTCCACATTAAAGTGACCGTGTCTGGACCAATCATCATTCTTTCTCTTCCAAACCGTCCACATCTTCTTACGTACTGCAAGGCACTCACCATAGTAAGTTGCTGCCTTTTCATGGTAAATATTATCTTCTTTTAAATCAATTATAAATGAGTTCATGGAAAGATTTTGACAAATGAAATTAACAAAAATCGCCTTTGGATAATGATGCATTCCTAAATATATATATTTTTTTTATGGTTTAAATATGTTTCATTTTATTTATTTGTTAAGCCTTGGGGTCATAGCAGGATGTAATGTCCCCTTGAGCGTATACAAGCAGCAATGCCTCTCTTAGCAGTCAATATTTCCATACTATTCTCACTCTGTTTATGTACATAAAACAGGTGAACATTCTTAGAGTGGCTCAATCGACAAGATGTTTTTCATTTGATGATTCTCAAGGTGGTGATACTAACTGTCTATTGACCCCATTGAAGTGACTTTGTCCCGCCCAATCATCGTTCTTTCTTTCCCATACCTTGTCACATACTGCAAGGCACTCATCACAGCAAGGTAAATATAATCTTTTCTTAAATCAATTATCAATGAGTCCATAGCAAAATCTTTACAACTTGAGATAGAAAAAAGCATCTTCAGAGAATGTTGTTTTCCTACATATTGTTCTCCTTCTATTCTCAATCTGTATTTGTACATAAAACATGTGAACATTCTTAAAGCGGTATAACTAGAAAAGGAAAGTCTCAAGGTAGTGATACTAACCGTCTATTAATCCAGAGTGAATCCCCGTTGAAGTGACTCTGTCCCGACCAATCATCGTTCTTTCTCTTCCAGTACAGAAGACCAAACGTGAGTAGAACGAGGACGAGAAGGACAGCTAAGATACCGCACACGATGGCCGCAATTATACCGCCACCTATGTTTCCGCCTTGGACTCGTCCAACAGTTGGGTCATCTGTATCATTGTAAAATGGAAATTAAAGCCCCACTGCACTACTTATACATGTAGGTACTTGCGCCCTCTATATAGCTAATAATGCCTAATCGGTACCCGTTGATCCCCATGATCCTCTTTTTCCTATGTTAAGTGAGAGCTGATTTGATGAGATAACGACCTGTCAGTGACTTTGCAGGGCACGTATCGGCACGGCCGGTATTAGATGGGCGCCGACATTTTGCGCACTAAATTTCACATTTCTGTGCGTGGATACGTTCTTTTTCTCTTCTCATCTCATGCATATTCATTCCCCCTGAACAACTGTCGAATCGATAACCAGGATTTTTGATTGTACCTCTAGGTTCAGTTAATCAAGCTCGTTCCAAAACTATATTATTTGTCCATATTTGTTTTTGCCAAAATATTCTAAATGCGATCTGAAAATGACCTTATTTGTCACTTTACGACACTTAAAATTCAAGGGTTTTTTTAAGTTGTCATGGCAATAAAATACAATTTTTTTTAATGATCTCATGTATATATTTTGATTGCTCATCATTTTCTCCTCAAATTGATCATTTGGTTTTACAAGTCTCGTTGGGCAGATTTTAAGCTACGAGTCCTCAAAGATAAGGTAATTTTTTCCAATTTCTCCTAATTTCGCACCTTTCATCCGAAATCGTAGTACATTATTGAATATGGAGCAAGATACGAGAATTGATAGTTATCATACAATTTATTATGATATTTCTGATGATTTAATTACCTAGTTTTGCAGATTTATAACGTGAAACAAATACTAAACTGAGTTTGAAAATACAACAAAAGCAGCTGATTTATTATATTTAGCGTGTACGCGAACACGTGTAGCCCGCTTCGGTCAGGGTAGTGTAACGCCACCCTACCGTTGTGTGAACAATCCCACATGCAGATAAATGTGTCTTGCGCACATTTGGAAGCATAAACACAAGTTTAAAAAAATATTAAAAATCGCTCGAATTGAATTTTATCATGACATTTTTAGATTATGTTTCTTTAGAATGTTGTTTTTAGATATGCACATGTCACAAGATTTTTTTTCTATTAGATTAAAAGAAAATCAAATATTTCTTGGGCATGCCATGGTCGGGAAATTTTTTATCGCCTGATGAGTGATGTGTGTTATGTTATTAACTGAAGCTGAGCCAGGTGTAGACCGAAAGCTTCAGTCTCTATAATCGTCGGTTGTTCCACTGAGACTACGTCTGGCTCCACTAGACCTCCGGTTATAGGTCTAGTGGAGCCAGACGTAGTCTCAGTGGAACAACCGACGGTATAGAGACTGAAGCTTTCGGTCTACACCTGGCTCAGCTTCAGTTAATAACATAACACACATCACTCATCAGGCGATAAAAAATTTCCCCTGACCATGCTCAAGAAATATTTGATTTTCTTTTAATCTAATAGAAAAAAATCTTGTGACATGTGCATATCTAAAAACAACATTCTAAAGAAACATAATCTAAAAATGTCATGATAAAATTCAATTCGAGCGATTTTTAATATTTTTTTAAACTTGTGTTTATGCTTCCAAATGTGCGCAAGACACATTTATCTGCATGTGGGATTGTTCACACAACGGTAGGGTGGCGTTACACTACACTGACCGAAGCGGGCTACACGTGTTCGCGTACACGCTAAATATATAAATCAGCTGCTTTTGTTGTATTTTCAAACTCAGTTTAGTTATTGTTTCACGTTATAAATCTGCAAAACTAGGTAATTAAATCATCAGAAATATCATAATAACTTGTATGATAAATATCAATTCTCGTATCTTGCTCCATATTCAATAATATACTACGAATTCGGATGAAAGGTGCGAAATTAGGAGAAATTGGAAAAAATTACCTTATCTTTGAGGACTCGTAGCTTAAAATCTGCCCAACGAGACTTGTAAAACCAAATGATCAATTTGAGGAGAAAATGATGAGCAATCAAAATATATACATGAGATCATTAAAAAAAATTGTATTTTATTGCCATGACAACTTAAAAAAAAACCTTGAATTTTAAGTGTCGTAAAGTGACAAATAAGGTCATTTTCAGATCGCATTTAGAATATTTTGGCAAAAACAAATATGGACAAATAATATAGTTTTGGAACGAGCTTGATTAACTGAACCTAGAGGTACAATCAAAAATCCTGGTTATCGATTCGACAGTTGTTCAGGGGGGAATGAATATGCATGAGATGAGAAGAGAAAAAGAACGTATCCACGCACAGAAATGTGAAATTTAGTGCGCAAAATGTCAGCGCCCTGGTAATGTTGAGACGCGCGTGCTTACGGCGAGCCGTGCTGATACGTGAGGGAGGTCTAATCCCCCTAGCCAAACTAGTGCAGACAGGCTTTTAATGTTTGATGATGATACCTACACATATAACCATATACTTTATTGCAGAGTTAACACCCTTCTGGCTATACACAGGGGATAAAATCATTGGCACTAGTGATATGTTCTACAGTGCATCCCAGAAAAAACAAAACCGAAAATTATCAATGTTTTATCATAACTTAATCACATTTATAATTGATAAATGACACACATTTGGAAAGCTTAGATCCTCTTCTTTCATTTGATGCAACTCATATGATGCATATTTCACACATGAGTGATTAAAATGAATTTGAAGAGAGGAAACCCAAAACTCATTGGCGGACGGTATCTGAATTTCAAGGAGAAAATCACATTTCTAGAAAGTTGAGGTTCTGCCCTTTCATATGACACCTCAATCAGGAAAAATGAGCAAGGAATGACAAAGTTCTGATTGTTTAAAGTAGTGCTTGCATTTCCATAATTTTATGTAACAAATTCGTTTTCACTGGGTGCTTGCCATAACAACATACAGAATTGACAACAGACTTTACTCCATTTCGTTGACAATCAGCCATGCATGAAGTCTTTCGTCTACGGCTGATTGTCAACGAAATGGAGTTAAGTCTTTTGTCAACTCTGCTTGTTGCTACTGCAGGCACCCAGTGAAAAAAAATTATCATTATTCTTATCATTACTATTTCAAGTAATTTAGGAGCATCTTACCCAATAGCGTAGTCACAACCAACTCTTGCGTGAATGGACTGAGCCCTCCTGCATTCTGATACGCCATGCGTACTCCATGGGGTGTGTTGCTAGGGAGACCAACGATGAGATAGGACGACGCCTCCTGGGCAGAGAGGGCCACATCAGGTGACATGTCCGATGAGTTGAGGATGCGAAACGAGATGAGATATGCCTCAAAGGTCTCATCGTTTGTGGGCTGTAGATGGGAACAAACAGTGTATAATAATGATATTCAGCTTTCATATAGCTTAATATATTCTGGACGTCTCTAAGCGCTTTACCCCGGTCATTGGATTCAGTGCTTGTCACTCCCTAGGGAGCATTGCAGCCAGGCATTACTTGACGCTCAAAAACTGAGTGCTGTGACACTTCGGGAGTTGCATGCTATGTTGCGCCCCTCAGCAGAATAGCACTATTGCAGTCACCTTGGACCCATATTTTTCACCAGAGCCTCGATCTCTCTCAAGACAGTGTATATTTGTATACAACAATAATTATATTTTTGATCTATGAAATCCTGCGTTTCAAGGAATGCATTCATACCAGGTTCCCATTTACTTAATTCACCTGGGTAGAGTGCAGCATAATGCATTTCTTACTGAAGGAAATTAACGTCCTGGAGTGGGATTAGAACTCACGACCTTATGATTGAAAGATGAGAGTCAGAACCACTACACCATGACGCTTCCACAGTGGATAGTGGATTTAAATTAGTGATGGCAATTTAAGCCTACCTCCCAAGTAAGCCAGATTGAAGACGAGCTATTTGCTGTGGCACTGAAGTCTTCTACAGCTGATGCTGGTGCTGGATTGAAGAAAAACATTAGAAACAATAACAACTGGCAAATGAGTTTTGAGTACATGTAAAAGACACTTGGTTGCTTTCTACACATTAATGCTTAGAGCCTCATTATACATTATTCAGTAGTGGTGATAATGTGCATGCAGGGCCCTCAGGGAGAACAGTATTAAAGGGGGTGTAGCTTGGCAAATACTGGTTAACGCCATCTATGTCATCTTTTGGACAACTGCATGTAAACGAATGGACTTGATTAACGATTGTCAGCGACTTAATCTCTACATGGTCAGCACGGGCTAGCTTTCACGAAACAGACCGAAGTTCATCTCACGCTTTGGTTTCACGCACGAGACTGTTACGGTCCCGTCGTCCGTAGTCGATTACAGCTGATTGGCCCCTGAGTCAAGCCACGGGAAAGCGCGTAGTCTCGACATGCTACACCCCCTTTACAGATAAAGACCAGTTATGGTCATGTGTTTGCATTGTGAAAGAAACGTTGTGGAATCGATCAGAAAAGGTTGATCATCTAGCATACAAGTATTTGTGTGTACTGCAAGGTTCTGGAATCATCAAAATAATAAAAAATTGGGCCCAGTCTTCGTAAAGTTACAAGCACTGTACACAGAAAAATGTGTATGGGACTATATGGACACGTGCGCGACACATGCGTTTATCTCTCACATACAAATAGATAAAGTAATTTACCAAATAAATCAATTAGTAGGTGGTTTCTCAGCAAATTTGTTCTCATCATGTATTAGTCAAAACATATTCTTTCACATGATGGGTAATAAGAGCTTCCATTTCATTTTTTGAAATTGGGGCGTTATGTTTCCAATACTGGTCTTTACCTTTTACACTGATGAGGCTTACATGGGTAAAGAAGACATATTATTCTCATTGTACCCCCCCCCCCACCCCATCTCTATATCAATGCCTCGTGCAGTTGAGCTGAGTATATTATGTACATCAGGCTAAAAACTATAACATATAGTGAGCGATAAATTGGGTAAAAAATATTCATTCAGTTATTTCTATACATTTTGAAACTTTGTATTTATTTTCCGTACCTTATACTTAATCTTTTTGTTTATTTGTTGGTGAAATCTATACGCTTGTATTTGATAAGAAAGAATTTTAACTGTTTTTTGAAGTAAAATGTGGGATAAATAAACTTCAAACTTTAATATAACCACTCAAGAAAGAGAGAATTTGATTTAAAACACTGAGTCCTCTTTCACTACTGACTCTTGTGGTTATTTTTAGTGATTTGGGGCAAATAAATTTTGTTCAGCCATCATCTTTTGTTGTCGCTGTCATTATAAGTGTACCTTGAAAGCCTGTTGTAACCTGAACAGTCACATAACGACTCCATTCTCTTACGGCAACGTTGCCTGCACGAACTTTGACCTCATAGTCCGTAACATACTCCAGGTTATCGACGAGGGTGTTGAGTTGATTGGCATAGTGGGATACGGTAACCGTGGTGACAGCTGATTCGTCCTCAGCAGGATAAGAGAGGATCTCATACATAATATCATCTGCAAAGGAAATATAAACTTATCAATAAAATGAATACCATTGGATTGGTGTACATAGCAATGCTCTCACAAATGCCATACATAATTTTATTTCACTCATTTATTTTACTCTCTTTTAAAAAACATAAAAAGTATACACATGTTCGTTCATTATCAACATAAGATAAAAGGAAGTGGGGAATCATGAAAGCCAAATTTGGCTTGATGAGGATGATCTCCAAATAAATACTTTGCATAAACAAGTTACAAATTATTTTATATAAAAAAAACATCGTAGATACATTCACAACAGAGGACAGTGGAAAGATAAAGATAAGATAAGGTAATAACTGTTACAGGAAGATAAGAAGGAAGAGAAGATAAGTACATGTAGAAGGAAGTTACAACTTGAGTTTTACATTCTACATAATTACATAATAAATGACACTTTAATGTTGTTCCGCTTAAATAACCCTTATACATTTATTTGAAGCGTTTCAATGAGACTGATCAAGGTGTCACGGTCTAGTGGATACGGCACACGACTGTGGATCACATGCTTCACACTTCAAGTCTCAATGTGGCACTAATGACCAACGGCAACTAGGACATTCATCTGCATTTGCCACTCTCCACCCAGGTGATGTAAATGGGTACCCGGTAGGATGCGAAAGCTAATGTGCTTAGATTAGCAAGTGTGCGCTTTTAAAAATGACGCCTGGCTGGAATGCTCCCCAGAGAGTGGAGAATGTGCATACATCATGCGCGGGTAAGCCTGAATCCAATGACCGGGGTATCTGTAAAACACTTTGAGAGGGCCTGCGGTGCTGAAAAGCGCTATATAAGAACGGGCTATTATTATTATTACTAGTGGACTGTGGAGTCCGAGTCTCAATGTGGCACTAATGTCCAATGGCAGGACATTCATCTGCATTTGCCACTCTCCACCCAGGCGATGTAAATGGGAACATCGTAGGATAAAATTCCTTGAATGCTGTGAACTGTGAATAACAAGGTACAGGGTTTGCATCCTTGCCATAGAAAAATGTCCTTAGGCAAGACATTAATCTACATTTGCCACACTCAACCCAGGTAAGTGAGTACCTGGTAGGATTTATTCCTTGAATGCTTTGAGAGCCAGCTTAGAAGAGAATCACATTTTGCACTACTCTTTTGATGATGCTTTTTGACATTACCTGGGTTTCCGTTCAGCATAGAGGGCGCTGACCACGTCACTGTGAGGAGGTTCCCTACTGCTGTTACAGCAACACCCTGAGGCCTGCTTGGAGCTGAAAGGAAAGGGAATTCGTAGATACAGTCAAACCTGTCTACAGCGACTACCCAAGGGAAACACACAAAGTGGCCTTTGTAGACAGGTGGTCTTTGTAGACATGTTCCTTTAGTACATGTTTCAATGAGAAACAATTTTCAAGGGGAAAACAAATTTGCTTGTTGTAGACAGGTGGTCTTTATAGACAGGTTCCTTTAGTACATGTTTCAATGAGAAACAATTTTCAAGAGAAACAACAAATGTGGCCTTTCTAGACAGGTGGTCTTTCTAGACAGGTGGTCTTTCTAGACAGGTGGTCTTTGTAGATAGGTGGTCACTAAAGCAGGTTTGACTGTACAAATTAGACAAAACAAACCACATAACGCATGGCACAGCTCAGATTCAATTCACTTCACTGCATATTTTGGCAATACAACAAGAACAGTATGATATTTATTGCCTTTCCACAACCTGGGCCCCGTTGCACAAAACTTACCATTGATGGTAACTTTGCCATCAATGGTAACTACCATGGAAACCTTGATTTGGGTTGGCTGCTGTGCCCTGTTACCATGGTATTTGCCATTGATGGCAAAGTTACCATCAATCGTAAGTTAAATGCAACAGGCCCAGGAATATGTATTTTGGCATACTCTGAACTAGACTGCATGGTTGAGCATAAACTATAATGCCAAAATACAGATTACAGAAACATTCACATGAAAGGGACACCACTGCATGAAACAGAACTGCAGAGGGCCAAGATCAGGTATGCAGACAAAACAAGACTGTTGCTCCATAAATAGAGATACGTGTCTTTCAAGGCCTACACAAAAAATGAATCAAAATCAATCAAACTGTTGACAAATCACTTGAAAAGCAATTAAAATGTAATACATGTTAATTAAATGCACTTCATGAAACTTTGGCTAAAACCGTTTACCGCACCTCTGTAAGTAGGAAGTATCTCAAACTGATATACAAAAAAGAAAGATATTTTGTTGTCTTTTTCGATTTGTCCACAGCATTGTCCATCTTACCATAACCTTTCTAACCATCCAAGCTACTGCTAAAGAGAGAATGATTGAAAGTGGATACATGTGATACATGCACCTATGACGATTGTAATAAGGGGAGCCTTCCAAAGTTGCGACTGTGTCGCGACGCGTCGGGGCGCAGAGCAGGATATGAGAACAAAGGAGGCGCCTTTATGCGCCCATTAGCGCCTTTTTGCGTCGGATAGGAGAGGACTTCAGTTGGTTGCTAGCTCATTAAAATCTGGCTATTGTTTGGAGTCTCATTGTTACGAAATTACCCCGCCGGGGCGCGCCCCGGTGAAGCACTTGACATTTGTGAATGGGAGCTTAAACTTTGAATAGCTTTCGCGCCCTTTCGCGCCCGGTCCGGCGCATTAGTTATTCATGTAGTGCCCGCTTGTGTGTCGCTCTCGTCTTGCGAGATTTGACTCTGAAAAGCATTACTTTGGCTACTGATTTGTTTTAATATTATTTTACGTACATGACATTGGTTACAATGTTTGTTCTGATTGTTTATTTTCCTCTCGAAATCGGAGTTCTGTAGGCGTTAACGTTGGCATGATTGTTCATTTTTCATCTCCTCCTGTTCTGTTCATGATTGTGTTCAATATACTGTATCAATTTTAATACAAATTGATTTGTTCACGAAAAAAACAAATTTATTTTTATACTTACCCCACTCTCTCTGACATTGTTTTCCTCGTGCATGTTTTGACACTTTAATTGTAATTCTATATTTCCTTATAGCGATGTTATCGCATGTTTCGATTTTCTTGTTTTTTTTTAAAACAATTTTTGTTGCATCTTGTAAACAGTTCTGTCGTATGATCATTATAAATCATATAATTATATCATCAGTCTGTTATTTCAATACATAGATCCTTTGAATCTTCTTAAAATTAGAGAACGTATTTTAAAATCCGTGATGTTGAAAATGATACTTAATCAAGAATGTCATAGTTTCTCCTTGAATTGGATTTAAAAAGCGTTTTATCTGTATTACGATTTTTTTAATGCAAATGATATCCGTATTGTCGGGAACATCATCAATATGTTTCGTTAGAAGGAAGACGCTCATTTTCAGAATGTTCTTTCTTTGCAAAACACTAATGTTACGAAGAAAATTAAATACACTGTACCCGTATCATCGGGGATATCGCAAAACTCCCAGGGAGATTATCAATTGCAAATCAACATAGTAAATTATGCCTAAATCGTAAGAATAGAGCATGCATTAAAAAAAAGAGAGTTACCAGGAAATGATGTTTGAAATTTCACCCCAAACATATCTCAAGAATAAATTAGTTTATCATTCTGTGTCAAAGAATTTTATCGAATATTTCTTTGCGACGAAGGGGGGGGGGGGGGGGTTACATCCGCGGCCAGTTTTAGATCTAGGTCATTGTTAAGAATAACTAAAATACGTATATATAGTGCTGAATAGGGGCCACGTGTTATCGAAAGAGCGTAGTGCGTTCTAGAACATATACAAGCCATGGCAATTGGTTGAATTGCTTCTCGTAACAGAACTGTCTCACTGTCTAAATAAGGATCCATCCGGGGGATCCATCATGCACGTGTTGGTATCAAGTAGTAAACGGAATTAATAATGATTGCGTTGTTTTGAGACATTTTTTTCGGGGGGGGGGGGGGGCAGGGTAGCCCTTATTCTTCTTCTACTGGGTCATCAAGAAACACAAATAGTGTTGAAATTTTCCGCAATCCCTTTAGCGCCGAGGGTAGAAAAGCCTTTAGAAAAGTCAGCTGGACAATAGCAATTTAATGTTGGTCAAACAATCAGCGAGAAATACTGGGCGAACAGATATTAGCCCACGTCTTCAATATAACCAGGGAATCCCGATTTAACTAAGCACATGCTCACAATATGAATATCAAATCTGGCTATTGTTTGGAGACTCATTGTTACTGTCTGGTAAAGGGGTACTTTTCACGCACCAAAGTCCGGCTCGTCTAGTACACACAAATCCGGACCGTATTGACTTTACACACCGGACTTAGGGGACTGTTTTCAAAAGGAGGGAAAATGCATATGCGTACCCTACATAACACTCATCCGGGGGTGGGGGGGGGGGGGGGGGGGAGGGGTGCGCTTAAAGGCGAAGCGCTTTTTGTGAATTGTGAATTTGTGAATTTGAAAAGCTTTCGCGCCCGTTCCTACGCATTAGTTATTCATGTAATCCCCGCGTGTGTGTCCGCTCTCGTCTTGAAATATTTGACTCTAAAATTTTCACTTTGGCTACTGATATGTTTTATTATTATTTTACGTACAAGACATTGATTTAGATTGTTGTTCTGATTGTTATTTTCCTCCCAAATATCGAAGTTGTGTAGGCGTTGACGTTGTTATGATTGTTCATTTCTGTTCATTAATGTGTTCACTACTTGTATTATATTAATGTCTTCACGAACAAAACAAAAACGATATGTATAATTGTATTCCTTCTGTATGTTTTGACACATTATTTGTTTCATATTACATTTATTTTGTTCTGTCATCCGATCAAAATAGGTCATATATCTATATCATCACTCTGTTCTTTCTCATGCAAGATCGATTTAAAGAATAGAAACGTAGGTTCTCTAAATCTTCGCAAAATCAGCTATTGTATTTAAATACCCGTGATTTAAAAATGATACTTATAATCAAAGAGATTGAAAGATTCTGCTTGAAATAAGATTATAGGGCGTTTATAAATATGTCATACAAAACAAACAAACATCTGCAAATTAAAGATATTACACAAATGATAGTCGTATTGTCGGGAGCCTGCATCATCAAAACGTTTCGGTAGATTGAACAATTCGAAATCGCCTATCTGTTCCAAACATGAAATTCGATCGAATATTTCTTCGCGAAGAAACTTTATTGGTGGTGTCATTTGTCTTAACAATTTGTTATCTTCAATGTTCGTGACGTTTTGACGTTTCATATTTGTTAGCTAGCGCTAGTAAAGTCTTTTGTTTTAACGTGCACTGTATATAGTTATAAGGCCTGAACACGTCATGTTCACATTGGGTGTTATATAGCATACGGATATTATAGTACATGTAACTTTTAAAAGCACTTTGTTTTTGCAACGCAATGACAAAAGACAGCTCTTTGAGCAGCTAATAGTTGTTGCGCCCATTGTTCCGCTCATAGGCGGCTATTCCCAATTACCGGGCATTATTTGTTATTGTATCATTAGTTAAGTTTATTAATCTATTCATGTTTTCTATTTATTTATTTAGTTTTGGGGAGGGGGGATGTCGTATTACGAATTCATGACCCTTATACATAATGACCATGTTCTCAAATTACGAATAGCGGTCTTCATGAATAGTTGTCCAATGAATTAGCGGTCCTTATAACTAGCGAGCGGAGCCCTCCTGATTGACCTCTGCCATTTTGGTCCGGCCGTTCACTTCGCCGCCCCCCTCTCTCACAGACACACATATGTGTAGCTAAACAAGAATCTATAGCAAGTCGGACAATTATAGCGATCAAACAATAGTCGCGTGAAATCCTGCCACGGCATTCTATGTTTTTATCTTTAGAGCGAACTTTTCTTTTGTATTCGCTCCATAGAACTCTACTTTATCTTACAGCGAGGTGAAATGAAAAGAGCGTCATCATGAGTAGATCTATTGTTTGATGTTATCCTTCTTCTCCCTAGTTAAGCCAAACCTTCAATTTAGGCCTATCCATAAAAGGTAGCTTCCTGTACCGTTCGCTTTTTTTTTCCTGACTGCTATATGAAGCATGTGTATGCTCTGAATTAGGCAAACAGGGGACCGGCGGGTTTAAGATCCTCTCCGAACGAAATGTAATGTTCAGTTATGCCTTACAATAGCATATCGACTTGGTTTCTAACCAGGGAGCTCCCGGTTACGAGCTGCTCTGCTCTACCACTGGGCTATAGCGCCTCCCTCCTTTTAAAAAGATCGTTTAAAATTTGCCGTTTTTTTTTTTTTTAGAATAAGAATCAAAACATGTTTGGTATGTTTTTTGTATCTGTGCATTAAGATTTCAAAATTTCACTTTCGCCACTTAATTATAAAAATCTACGAATAAATGATTCGAATGTTGTGTCGAATGATTAATTATCATCATGAACTGATTAATGTTTTGTATTGCATTTCCAATTGCTGCTCAACTTTATCACCATCAGGCTACACTTTTTTGTTTACATCTTCATGACACACATGTTTTATAATCTCGATATAGTTCCCGGACTCTTTTTTCTATTTATTTCACTTTTAAAAAGAGCTATGGAATTATTATGATTTAAAACGCATTTTGGACGGGCAATTTTCGAAGGCATATCTCGGGCGTGAAATCCTGCCACGGCATTTTATGTTTTTTTTTCCCTGAGGCCACTTAACAAAATATACATGTTTAGCGTCCCCGCCTGCTTCCTTTTTGGGGGCCGCCTCCTATTTTTTATTTTTGGTTAAATAATATGAAAAACACTACTAAAATGGATCTATTACTGATTTGTTTAAAAAGTTAAAAGATGTCGGCGGCCATTTTGAAAAATAGCCCGACTGTCAGGGAAAATGTACCGAGCGGCCATTTTGAGCGGCCATTTTGAAAGAAAAAGAAAAGAAAAGAGAGGGCCTCCTCCTTCCTAGTTTTCGAAAAAACAGGACACTAATAAAAAAAACTTTTATTTGGCCTTAGAGCGAACTTTTCTTTTGTATTCGCTCCGTAAAACTCTACTTTATCAAACAGCGAGGTGAAATGAAAAGAGCGTCATCTTGAGTAAATCGTTTGTTTGATGTTATCCTTCTTATCCCTAATAAGCAAACCTTCAATTTATTAGAACCAAGTCATGGGAGGAGAAAAAAAAAGGATTAGACTGACAAAATATAAATTCTTCCAAGCTCAGGCTGTGGCGATGTGCAACGCGTAGCGTGAATATGAATGACGAGAGAGAAAGATAATTCCTTTGTCCATTATACGACGCTAGAATCATATCGCGATGTGGGAATTATACAAATATGTTGATAATCATTCAAATTACAAACATACACAAGCGACCCAAACAGTAATGAATTTGCCGACTATAACCGCATACATGTAGTCGTTCACATCATTCGTCTTTTATTTTTTGTTGTTGGGGACAATTAAGCTCGCAATTAAACAACCATTAATCGTACATAGTCATCTTTATTTCACATTTCATACAGTCGTCACAAAAATTAAAAGGAGGCGTATTAAACCCAACAAAAATAAATCATAATGTATTCTGATCAAGATGAACGAGTGTGTTGATTGCCCCCCAAAACAAAGACGATCCCACCAGAGAAGTTCATGCTGTGCTGTAGTAATGTACATCGCAAAGCTTCGCCACAATGATTGGAAAGGTAATACCCCGCCCGTTACGACGCAAAACGGCGCGAGAAGAATAGATCGCGACGCGAGAAGAATACATCATTTTTTTTTACAAACAATGGAAAGTTTATCAGAACGAAAACCAGAGGAGGGGAAGACAGGCTTTGGCCGACAAATACTTTCTGTATATCAAGTTTAAGCTGTACCGCGCATCACGAGCGAGAACAATGACGGGAGAGATAATCTTCCATCGCCTGGTGGGGCGCAAAAAGGCGCAAGAAGAATAGAGCGGGTTTATACTAACAATAGACGGTTTCTTTTCATATGCAAGAATCAGGTGAGGGTGACTATTGCGCCCCTTCGCGCCCCTTTGCGCCTCAATGCGTCTCTTGGGACGCCACTGTTCTATTCATCGCGCCCCGACGCGTCCGGGCACAGTCGCAACTTTGGAAGGCTCCCCTAAGTATATACAATTTGTAATTTCATACATTTATATTAATTTCAGCTAAGCAGACATGACAGAAAATTAACCATGATGATCTGGGAGATGTTAACATTGATTCACAATGCAGAAATATGCGCTGACATGGTTCTGAATTATTTAATACATACAAACAGTACCACTTCTTGATTGAAATAAACATCCAAAACAAATTACAGTTAAGATTTATCTGTATAAATTCTATTTTCAGTCTTTATGATGAAGTCATGAGCCATTGCAAAGGTATATGAAGGTGTGATTTTCAAAATTTTTTCATTGAATATGCAAGGAAACAATTCTAAAATGATGTGAAATTAAAGGCAAATCAGTACTCCATTACCTCCTGATGATGTATAAACAAGACTGGTCGCTGGACTGAACGACCCCGCTCCCAGTCCATTCACTGCTTGCACTCTGTATTGGTACCCTGTGAAAGGCTGCAGACCTTCAACTGTGTAAAAAGGGTCACCAGTCTCTCCTGCTAATGAATATTCATCACTGAACTCAGCCTGGTATTGGACAGTGTATGTTGTAATTGGCAGGTCACTGGTAGGAGTGGGAGTGGCCCAGGTGAGACGAAGACTGGTAGATGTGATGTCAGAGATGGTGGGTGTAGCTACCTGGCCTGGAGCTGCAGAAATGAAATGAAATGAAATGAAATTCTAAATTGAAGAAATACTAAATAATAGTCAGAATAAACAGATTTCCCACCCTGGAAGACCTGATTTTCTTCAAGGCCCCATTGCACAAAACTTACGATTGATGGTAACTTTGCCATCAATGATAACTACCATGGAAACCTTGATTTTGATTGGCTGTTGAGCCCTGTTACCATGGTAGTTGCCATTGATGGCAAAGTTACCATCAATGGTAAGTTTTATGCAATGGGCACTGAACTACAAAGTATCAGAAAACTATCCCTCTACATACCTTGTAGTGTTGCTGTCAGAGAGCCATAGGGGTTGGAAGCTGTACAGGAGTAGACATCGTCCATCCCTACACTCTGGCCAGTGATGACCAATGACCCACCGGGGGATACTGAATGACCGGTCACTGAGGTGTGCGGGAGGGGCGTGGTCCCCCTCTGCCAGGTGGTGGTAGGGGCAGGGGATCCCTTGGTGTTACATCGGAGGGTGACGCTGGTAGGGCCGGATGGGAAGGCCTCTGCATTGGTGAGCACAGGGACACCTGGATATAGAGTGAGAGATGATATGAGAGGGACAGCTCTAAGCCTGAATACTTTACAGGTACATGTCTGCCTACTTTTGTATAAACCATCTGCAATGGCAATAAATCTATGGCACAGGCCTGCAAATCAGTGTCCTGGTTATCAAAAGATGGCAAAGGGCATAACTGCATTTCTCTTTATTCTTACTATATCTACAAGGGAAGGAGGTAGGGGAGGTGAATGTATGTGGTCACTTTGGAACCCCCCCCCCCCCACCTTAGTGCAGTATCCATAACTGCCACAAAACAATAAAACCATTGCAAATCGCGACACCTGGTATTTACCTTTTGTGATCGTTTATGTCAAGGGTAACACAAGTTAGGAGGTTAAGTTTTGTAAATATTGAACATTCCATTGGTGCTACACCTTACAAGAATATCTTTTCCATGTAAAACAAATTCTCAAATAATCATGATTTTTCTCTGTTTTTCCTTTCAGATAAATAAATAGAAATGCAGTAATTCACTCTTAGGGATGTGGGAACGAGGCTTCTGGGTTTACCTTGTACAGACACTTGAACGCTTGCATTCACACTGCCCAGGAAGTTAGATAGGACGCACACAAAGTCACCATCGTGCTCTGACACATTAGGGCTGTACACCACCAAGAAGGCAGTGTTATCCTGTATGCTGCTGCTGTACTGTGTAGCGATCATGGGAACAGGCTCCCCACTAGGTTGGAGCCAGGTCAGGTCAGGGGTAGGTTGACCTTCGATCTCACAACTCAGTAGGGCAAAGGGAGACTCTTCCATTGCACTCACAGGGGTGTTAGTGCTGGTTATCTGAGGAGGGACTGAAGGAAAGAAGAAACAAGGGTAATGGTCGACACAGGAGACTTTATAACAAGGGTAAATGTGTCAAATATGCTGATTTTTCGTCAACATTTCCTATTCAATTTTGTGGAAACATCTGAAAGAAACATAAATTTGAGGCAACACGTCTTTTATTGTAGGGAAGAGAGTGCCCCACATATTAAAGATCATACACAGTTTTAGTAAGGCTCCAATAATTTGTTGCATGATATATTGGTTCTAGTTGATGAATAGCAACGTACTAACTATTCTAAAGTGCTTTGCATTTTTGTACTCCTCGTTTGGTATGATATTAAACAAATGAGAGGTGCAAAACAGTTTATGTGCCATGGTATATAAACTTCTGTTAGCTTTAACGTGTAAAACAGATGGTGACTGTAAATTGACAGATATTCTCTGTGAGGTTAATAAATGAGGAGTTAAAATCTGGATGAAATTGTGGTGTCATTTTGTCTTGCATTTGTCCACGAATGTACGAATCCTGTAAGGGTTAATGTTAAGAAGAGAAGAAAATGCCATGTATACCCTTGGTACTTTCAATGAAGCAGTCTAATTGGGTTTATGACAAGTGTTTAAAGGCAGAAAGTCCTTTTTACAGATTGGGGCAAACTCCATGACGAGTGTTTAAAATATATCCTTCAGATATCATAAGTGAAATTTTACAGTTATAGGTTCTCAAACTTCTTTGTAAGAAATGAAAATCTAGTGCTATGATATATTTTTCAAGTCTAGAAGATAAATCTGGAATTAAATCATTCAAAATTATTTGTTGAAAGCATTTTCTATTTTTTTCATTCGGTGGAGGTTCCTAATAGCAGTAAGCATGGAATAATCATGGATCGATGAACAGGCTTAGACCTACAATATTGTGTATGAAAGTAAAGTAAAAGTAAGTAATCTAATAGTAGACTTCTTCAATATACCACTGGATTCAGGGAACTTCAGGTTTTTGGGTCTGCCAAAGGGACAAACCATCTTTGAAAAGGTTATCCCTTATACCATTACCATTGACTGAGAGATATGCCACCCCGCTGACGCTACCAGCGCTGTTCTCTGCTACGCATAGATACCATCCTTCATCTCTCTGCGTGACTTGGGTGAACTCGAGGTCACCGTCCACCGACACGAAGCTTAGTGAGGCTCTCGTCGCAGGAGGATTGATGCCCAGACCGATGCGGTTGCCTTGGTTACCGTCCGCATCACTCAAGTACCAGGAGATGACAGGTGTCTCACGGGCGTCGGCCTGACAGATGATGCTGACTGGGTGTGTCTCGTTGCCGGTGGTGTTAGAAGGGACAGACGCGAATTTAGGGACATCTATAACAAAGCATTCAAACATGGTTTAACATTATACCTCAGTAACAACAAACAAACTTACTCCAATCTGACTGACTTTTGCCAAATTAAGCCAGTCTTTACGACTGTTTTCGGTCTGGTGTCGTTCTCATTGGTGCGAAGTTTGTTTCTACCAAAAAATGTTTTAAAGGGAATCTATTCATAGTGGCCTCTCAAACTTGCCATTTAAAGACCATTCACAGCGAGCAAAAAGAGTGTTAATAAACAGGTTTCACAGTAACACATTTCGTGAGGAAAATCATTTACCAAAACTCATGTAACTTATGCAATTTGTGTTTGCGGATATAAAAGATATACTGTACATATAGGTCAGAATATATTGTATTCAAATTAAACAAATATAAGAAAGCGTGATAGCTCAGTGAAACATCAGTGGTCTTGAAATTGGGAGGTCCCGGGTTTGAAAGCAAGCCAATACCCTAGTGCTCTTTGGTAAGGCATTAATCCTCATTACCAAGTACCTTGGAGAGGACTTAAAGCCATTGGTCCCCTGGTTGTTTACTTACAAGCACACACACATGCTTTCTTAGCAGTCAGGGCCTGTTGCATAAAACTTACCATTGATGGTAACTTTGCCATCAATGGCAACTACCATGGTAACAGGGCTCAATAGCCAATCAAAATCAAGGTTTCCATGGTAGTTGCCATTGATGGCAAAGTTACCATCAATAGTAAGTTTTGTGCAACCGGCCCAGGTAAAACAAACAAAACAAATCAACTATGAGTCTGCTTACCTGGAGTGGAGAGTGTTGCAGTGACTTGGTTGATCCCGGCTGCGTTAGTAGCGATGCAAGTATATTCCCCCGTATTGGTCTCCAGTAAACCATCTATTACAATGCTGGAGTTACTCAGAACCTCAATATTGGTTTCTGAAGACAAAGAAGTTAGAAAGCAGAATTATCAGTAAGTAATAAAGCTTTAATAAAGGGCCACTGTACTACTTGTAGCTACTTGCTCCCTCTATATAGAAAACTTCCCCAATCGGTGCCTGTTGGTCCCCCATGAACCTCTTTTTCTTATGTTAGTTGAGAGCTGAGTTAATGAGATAGCCACCTGTCAGTGATTCGCTGTGTGGTCTAATCCCTTCTGGCCCAGTAGTATTGACGGTCTTTAAAGCCCCTCTGCACTATAGTTTGGCCAGGAGGGATTAGACCTCCCTGCATGGTCACTGACAGGTGGTTATCTCATCAAATCAGCTCTCACTTAACATACCGGTAAGAAAAATGGGACCATGGGGTACCAATGGTCACCGATTCAGCATTGTTTGCCATATAGAGGGTGCAGGTAGCTATAAGTAGTGCAGTGGGGCTTTAATCTGTCAGTCTTGCTCATTAAACAGATTGATAATGCTCAGCTATACCAAAGCAATATTCACTATTGCACTAATTCTGTGCTGGGTCCAACATTTGAATGCATATTTACATGTACCAAACTTGACTGAGTAAGTTGCTATATCAGGCAGCCTTCAGCCAGGTCTTACAGGCCTCGAATTACATCAAATTTGGGTCAAGGCCACTTTTTTGAGAGGGCACAAATCCACTGAAAGGGGCACAAAAGCGGAAAGTTTGCGTAAAAATCACCTCACGCCGTTATCATGGTGGTGGGGGGGGGGGTGTATTTGCACCCCCCCCCAAAAAAAAAAAAAATATGCACACTACCCCCCCCCCCCCCAAAAAAAAAAAAAACTGAGCGAATTATCGGCCGGCGGAATTTTCAAATTTTGGAGAGCAAAAAAAATTAGTGCTCACTACCCCCCTCCCCCCCCCCCCCCCCCCCCCCCCCCCCCTTAGGCCTAAAATAAAAACTTGTTGTATTGCCCTTTGCGACCGATCCAAAAATCGGAAAATCTAAGGTCGGCATTTTAAAATAGTTTTTATGAGGTGAAAAGGATATGAATGGAATGATGACTCTGAAACACATGTATTAAAGCATTAAAAACTGAAAAATATCGGTCCAAAGAGGGCGACAAAAAAAGTTTTAAAAAAAAAAAAAATTCTTTTCCGACCGACCAACCCATGTTTTGGCACCTAAAGGGCAATACAACAAGTTTATATTTTAGGCCTTATTTACAGGCTGGCTCCCACGAATTGGGTCCCCTCCCCCTGCCGCCGGCTGGATCCGCCCGTGGTGGGTGGAGGGTGAGGGGGGGGGGGGGTGGAGGAAGTGGGGAGTTTCGCCCTTTGACGTTTCATTGAATTATTAGAGAAAGAAGACGATTCGCTGTACCGTTCTCGACTCTTTATCCTTTTCTGAATTCCACGGGAAGCGCGGAAGCTTAGACGTTTTTAATAAATTATTAGAGAAAGAAGACGATTCGATGTACCGTTCTCGACTCTTGACTTTATCCTTTTCTGAATTCCACGGGAAGCGCGGAAGCTATGACGTTTTAATTAAAACGTATGGGAAAGAAGACGATTCGATGTACCATTATCTCAACTCTTAATCCTTTTCTGATTTAATTCCCGACCCTCCTCTCGAGAAAAATCCAAGTTTTTCACTGATTAAAAACTCTGAAAACGCACCAAAAAAGGTAACAACGCGAAGTGAAGATGTTGAACCAACGATGGGTACACAAAACTTCCCGATATTGATTGGTCCAAATAAAAAGGATGGAGATGGATTGAAAAACTAAGCCTGTCATTACGGTTTTTGTGCCAAACGTTTCAGAAGACGATTCGATGTACCATTATCTCAACTCTTAATCCTTTTCTGATTTAATTCCCGACCCTCCTCTCGAGAAAAATCCAAGTTTTTCACTGATTAAAAACTCTGAAAACGCACCAAAAAAGGTAACAACGCGAAGTGAAGATGTTGAACCAACGATGGGTACACAAAACTTCCCGATATTGATTGGTCCAAATAAAAAGGATGGAGATGGATTGAAAAACTAAGCCTGTCATTACGGTTTTTGTGCCAAACGTTTCAGTCATGTCGATGAAGACATGCTTTCATATCTCCGTATCGGCAATGAAGTCCCGCCAATAGTTATTAATTTAGAAGTTTCATAGTGGCAATGAAGTCTCGCCGATAATTATTGTTTTTAGTTCTCCGTAGGTGCAAAAAAATCTTGCCGATAATTATTGTTTTTAGAGCTCCGTAGGGGCAGCGAAGGCATGCCGATAATTATTGTTTTTAGATCTCCGTAGGTGCAACAAAATCTTGCCGATAATTATTGTTTTTAGAGCTCCGTAGGGGCAGCGAAGGCATGCCGATAATTATTGTTTTTAGATCTCCGTAGGGGCAACAAAGTCTTGCCGATAATTATTGTTTTTAGATCTCCGATAGGGCAACAAAACCCTGCCGATAATTATTATTTTTAGATCTCAGTAGGGGCAATGAAGTCTTTTTGAACATTACAAGTCGGGGTTGACTTATGATGACTATAATGTCGGCAAAACTTTTGTGGATTAAAATATTGTGGCCGTAAACGGTTTGATTTTGAAAAGGGCATTCCGGCCAGTGAGAGGGGCATGGCGGCAAATTGCCGATTGCCGGTGGGTAATTCGAGCCCTGGTCTTAAAAGGAGAAGGCCTACTGCTTCAAAGCCATAACCTATATCAGAAGATTGAAAATAGTTCAAAATCTTATTTTCTGTGCGGTATTTTCCCTATTTTAAAACCATTTTTTAACTATTTTATTTTTGACTAGGGTAGTAGCAGTACTTACCGAGAACCAGAAGGCTGCCATCCTTTTGCCACTGAATTGATGGTATGGGATCTCCTGAAGCCTCACAGTCTAATGTGACCTTTGACCCAGGATCAACAGTAAGGTCAACGGGATGGACGATGAACTGGGGAGGAACTGGAGCAAACAACATATCACATGTATGAGAAGATTTCAATTGTTACCATACCTTAAAGTACAAAAAATAGGGTCTTTCTATACAGGTGGGAGATTAAAAGGAGGTTTGACTGTAACTTTCTAAACCGCTTTTGTAGAGTAATCGTCCTTTTAAAAAAATACAAATAATTTTTCATTCGTTGATTAAGTTATATAACATCAGTTTGGAGTAAGCAAGATAGTAACTTGTAGCATTAAAAGGCCATCAGTACTAGTTTATAGGAGGGATTAGACCACTCTGCAATGTCACTGGACAGGTGGATATATCATCAACTCAGCTCTCAACTAACATAAGAAAAAGAGGATCATGGGGGACCAATGGTCACTGATTAGGCAATGTTTTCTATATAGAGGGAGCAAGTTGCTACAAGTAGGACAGTGTGGCTTTAACACAAGATTAATGCCCTTCTGGACCTGACCAGATGATATTTTCAATTTATTTCCTCAGGGCTTGGCAAATATCAAATAGAGAAATATATAATGAGTAGAAGGACTGCAGTAGTGAATGATTATCCTTAATGTTAAAACTCATACTTTTCCTGTTTTAAATCTACATTACTGAGTAATGAAACCATTCAGACAAAAAGCAATCTAATAAGCCAGTTCACAGTTGCAGTCTGAGCATGAGCAGATAAAGGTCATTGCAGAACAAATTTTGAAATACACGAAGACAAAATACTGGATACGTGCTCATAAAAGTTATGTAATCATAATTCATTCAAGCACAAGCAGTCTACTCCATGTACAAAGTGGGACCTCTTAATGTTTTGATGATCTGTGGATATTCGGGGTCATTGCAGTAATGTACTAACCGTGAACTGGTCTATTTCACACTTACCATGCACAGTCAGGTACGCTGACACGTTTCTGACACCAAGCTCGTTTCCTGCGCTGCATGTATACACCCCCTCCTGTGGCTCTTCCACGTTGTTAATCCTTAGATCACCATTGCCTAGGACCTCAAACTTGAGATCGGTCAGTAGGAGCTGACCGTTGAATAGCCATGTGATGACCGGTGTGGGCGTGGCGGCCGCTCGGCATTCAAAGCGAGCGAGTTCGCCTTCTATGGCCGTCTGGTCAGCCGGGGAGGACGTGATGACAGGAGAACCTAGAAAAATAGAGATTGGTGATATAACTTTACTTCCGGATCCCAAGAAATATACCTACATATAACTATGATCTAAATGCACCATAACAGTTTATAAGATGATGACGTGGATCATAATCAATGATTGGTTGAAAGCGTACAAGTGACCAGGCATTTATTTTGCCTAACACGCAATTCGGATAGTAAAATCATGTTATAAAACATTATTTCATGAAACAAACAAAACATTATTTTATAAAACAAATAAAACATTGTTTTATGAAACAAATAAAACATTATTTTATAAAACAAATAAAACATTATTTTATAAAACAAATAAAACATTATTTTATAAAACGTTATCTTATAAAACAAATAATACACATCATATGTTCGGGCATTAGTAAAATTACCCACACTCGGTACCTTCAAAACAGTCCAAAACTCCAAACACCCTCGACTACCGCCTCAAGCGTGTTAGACTGTTCCAAAGGTACCTTGTGCGGGTAATTCTTACTAATGTCCTCACTGCTGTGTATTATTTGTATAGTACTAATCAACAGCATAGTTGCAGCTCCTTATGTTGGCAAACATCTCTGCCATTGCATTTGCACTGCTGGTAGTACATACTGAATATACAAAATATAATTTTCAATGATATAATGATGCCCTGTATATATATACATATAACCAGCAGAGCAAAAGCCACGACACATTGCCACATTGGTGCCTTGCCGTTGCTTAGCCACTGACCTCTGCCAACAATGCGGTTCGGTTCTTGCATATGCTAGAAATTGGGAAACAGTAGTCCTGTAGATAGCTACAGAGGCTAACATATGTGTGACCACTCCTTTAACGTATATAGGGGGTGTTACATAAAGCTGTTCGTAAAGTTACGCATGACTTTCTGAACGACCTGAATATGAAGTGCCAGATAGGACACCCAAAGTTTTTCATGTTTTAACAAACTGTGACTATATTTCCAATAACCTCAATTAAATTCTGGCAAAAAATATGATTTGCATTAAAAAAAAAAATTATGATAGGAATGTTAATCTACATCTGCAGTTTAATTTTAGTTGATGCAGTTGAAAATGATTGAGCATCCCATTTGGCTTTTCATATTTAAGTGGTTCGTAAAGCCATGCGTAACTTTACGAACAGCTTTATGAAACACCCCACAGAACGAACAACTTACTCCTGACTGTGAGTGTTGCTGACGTTGATCTAGATGATACCGTGTTGGCTGCAGAACAGACGAAAGTCCCTGCGTGACGATTCTCAACATCAGGAATCACTAGAGAGCTGTTAGACAAGACTTCTACTCCAAACTGTAGACCACTGGACACTCCCAGCACTCCTATTATATGGGCAAAATCCACAAAACATAACATGAACTGATATTTCCTCTTGGATTCAAGGTGATTGTCTACAACGTAGCTATATTTTCTACCCTTCTTGAAACTAAACACAGAGATTCAACATAATTCATTGATAATATAAATCATGTTTATAAAGTACTATAAATATATACATCCTCTATAGATATAGAGCAAAATAGAAGACTTGATCTGTATAATTGGTTTACCATTTGTATATCATTTTTGCTTCGGCAAAGTAAGCAAAAGTCTGTACAAGAAATAAAAATCTACATTACTTGGTTCAATTCCTATACCTAACTTCAACACGGATCCTATATATCGGTTCTTTTACACATGGAGTGCTTGTTCGCAGCCTTTTCTTTTAAAGTGTACACCAATTGCAATTAATGGGGGATTAAAAAAAAAGTAAGTACATACAGTGTACAACATTTAGGGTCCTAAATGTACCCACTATCAGGGTGTTAAAGGGATAGTTGAGTTTTTGTTCAGACCGCAAATACTTTCAAAGTGCATGGTTATTGCTCTTATTCTTTTTTTGTTATGACATTTCTAGTGCCCTTTTAGGACCTAAATTGCTAAAATGTGTGAAATCTAGCCAATACGATCATACCAACTCAGCTCTACGTTTAGAAAAATATGGTGACCGTTAATTAGAACTCAACTATCCCTTTAAGATATAGAAATGTGTAAGCTTATTACATTTACATCATTACAAAAAAAAAAAAAAAAAAAAAAAAAAACGCTGCAGTTTACCACGTCATATGAGAACAAACTTTGACTGGTCATCAATTTCGGCATCTTACCTAGTTCAGGTAATGGAGTGTTCCATGTTATAGCAGGGGTGGGCATACCATCAGCCTCACAGTCTAATAAAGCTGAACCCCCCGTCTCCAAAGTGGTATCTTCCGGTAGTTTGGTAAAACTTGGTGCCACTACAAGAAAGTGAGGAACATGGACAAAAATAATAATTGTCTCTAGGACCGCAATGAGATAGAGCGGTCTATCGTAGCACCCCCTTTTTTTCTAGCGCGCGCTAGACCGCGCTCTCTCTCGTGGACCACCCCCAAGAGGTGCTCCAGTGGCACGCCGTTTTGGCTCGCCGTGGCTCGCTGTTGGGCGGACCAAAACAACGTAATACCTTCCACACCGCAGAGATAGCGCGGTCTAGCGCGCGCTATCTCTGCCGGTGTGAACAGCCTCAAGGAGTCATACAACGTGCATTGAGTTCTTATCACAGCATTCAAAATCAGAAGATTGTCATCTGCTATCAATTTTTATCATGTCTTTACCGTGTATCAGCTATCTTTGCTGTCCAAAGTCAATATTTCTAGTTTCCGTTCCGAAGAAGAAATAAAAGTATGTGATGCTTAGCAGAAACAGAAGGTGGAAAGACGTCCTCATTGATACAAGCCTCTGCCATAGCATACAATGTATCTATGGATCTTATTTATATGTAAAAAATATTTTCTTTCTAAAAAATAATGTATATAAAGTTGTACTTATTTCATGCGTCATAGTAGAATCTTGATTTTCATGGATTATTCATATCCATGTATTTTTTAACCTTTCATAGACATTACAGATCTGAAGATGGTAGCATACACATATCAACAAAAAGCTTCATATTGTAGAGGTCAGGGGTCAGTTTCTTGAAACTGTCATAAGATCGTAGACATCCCATAGAAACGTGTTTTAATCTTATAACACACGTTTCAATGGAATGTCCAAGAAGTTAGACTTGTGACGGTTTCGAGAAACGGCCCCCACATTCATTGATTGCATGAGAAACCTGGTTTTACTTTTGTTCTTTCTTCCTTCCCTTTGTTTTGAGGGGAGGCGGGGGGAGGGGGGAGGGGGGGGGTGCATTCTTACCCTGGACTATAAGATGGACTCTTGTAGAGACTGTAGTAATTGAGTTGCTTGCCGTACAGACGTAAAACCCACTGTCTGGGACCTCTATACCCGTTATCCTCAACCAACCAGCAGCCGGCTCCTGGATCCGATTCGTCGGTAGATCACCAACCTCCTAACATGAGAAGCAATTAAAAGATACACATTCCAGGGCTCCATCTTATAAATAGTTGTGATTAAAGGTAAAGACCAGTTCTGGTCATGCGATTGCATTGTGAAAGAAACGTGGAATCGATCAGAAAAGGTTGAGCATATAAGTATTGGTGTGTACTGCACGGTTCTGGAATCATCAAAATGATAACAAATTTGGCCCAGTCTTGGTAAAGTTGCAAGCACTGTACACAGAAACGTCATCACGTATTAGTCAAAACATATTCTTTCACATGATTGGTAATTAGAGCTTCTATTTTTCGAGAGGGGGGCGTTTCCAAAACTGGTCTTTACCTTTAATCGCAACTTATTTGCGATCAATCAACAACCTCCTAACATGAGAAGTAATAAAAAAATACAAATTCCAGGGCTCCATCCTATAAACAGTTGCGATTAATCACAACTTATTTGCGAATGATATCAATCACCAACCTCTCAACATGAGAAGCAATTAAAAGATACATATTCCCAATAGGGCTCCATCTCCATAGACAGTTTATGAACTTATTTTGCGATTGATATCAATCGCAACTATGCACATAAGAGATAGGAGGCTGTAAACTTTCGATTGATTTGCAGACTTGTGATTGATTCGGATCAATCACAACTCTTCATCAGACGGGGCCTAAGAAAGTACCATAACTTATTTTAGATGGCTATGGTCCCACAACTTAGTTATTTGTGCAGAGCTGCCAACCTTGTGTGACCAATAAAAGGAATCATGATGGCAAAAAAAAGGAATTTCAAGCCAAAAAAGGAATTCATAAAAACGAAACTTACAACCACGCGCGACACACTTCCAAAACAGAAATGTTCATTCATCATGCTGTTTTTTCCATACATGCAGGTAATTTTTTTGGTGGTTATTTTGGTATTATCGGCATTTCATTTTTTTTTTAGTATATTTTTCTCTTAAAGTATGTTTTAAATCGGATTTGGGACCAAATCACCATTTTAGGGCAGTTGTTTGACAGGCGGTATGTAAAAAAAAAAAATATATAAAAAAATTATAAAAAAACATATTTTATGAAGAAAAAACGTAATACCGTAATTTGGAGGAAAAAAGGAATGGTTGGCACCTCTGTTTGTGCCATTGATCTTCAGTTTAGCAATCAAATGAAATATATTGCTAAGTGTAAACCTAACCCTTCCTACCATGTGCCATAGCCAAACGTTTAGCCGTGTATAGCTAACGAATATCCACGGTTTATAAGTTAAAAAATGGCGATGTTTGCCCAACTTTGTATTAATTATTATCTGGGATATCTTTAGAATGAAGTGACCCACCTTCCTCCACTCAATGGCTGGTGTAGGGCTCCCTGAAGCACCGCATGGGAACGTCACCCTACCCCCCACCACCACCGACTGGTCAGTTGGAGTAGCCGTAAAGATGATCTGCTCCATAGGGTCTGTGACTGTTAGCAGAGCTGATGCAGTGTTCTCGCCCCAGGCGTTGGTAGCTCTGCAGGTGTAGTAACCACCGTCGGTCTCCTGGGTGTTGGTGATGGTCAGGAGGGTGGAAGTAGATGTTAACCGACCGCCGGTCTGGTTAAAGATAGGACAGGATTTCAGGGGTTTCATCAGTGACAAATCATTGACAGTTTTTGTTAAAAGCTACAGAAATCCTTGTTTCTGATTCGTTATCAGCAGATTTGTAACTGATTTTTGTCGTTTTTCATTGAAAAAAGGCTTTGTGAAACAGGTCCCAAGACTTATGTAAGCAGGGCCCGTTGCACAAAACTTACCATTGATGGTAACTTTGCCATCAATGGTAAGTACTATGGAAACCTTGATTTTGATTGGCTGTCGAGCCCTTTTAATTACCATGGTATAGTTGCCATTGATGGAAAAGTTACCACCAATGGTAATTTGTATGCAATGGGGCCCAAATATCGTACATAAAATAGTGGATATCTCAGTTATTCTATTCACATAATGCAGTGCTGTCAGACATACTGATTCTGACAGCCTATATGAACAAAACACATACTTTTGAACGAATTACATGCATATAACATTATGCGTATGAAAAAAACACAAATATAATGATTCATATTAGTAAATTTTACCTTGATAACTGGAAAAGCTGCATATCACAGCTGCTAATTGAATATTTTTAAGTCATTCAGTTTCAACACATAGCTAGAGTGTAAGACAGCTTTGAAATGCCAATTAACAGCAACAATGTAGCAGGTATAATATATGAGAGAGTAACTCAATTCTTGATAATGACACTTAAAGGCCTACTGCACTACTTATAGCTACTTGTGCCATCTATATAGCAAACAATGCCTACTCGGTGACCATTGGTCCCCCATGATCATCTTTTTTCTTATGATTTGATGAGATAACCACCCGTCAGTGACCTTTCAGGGTGGTCTAATCCCTCCGGTAAACTAGTACAGATGGGCTTTAACATACATTACTTTCAACAGTGCTAATTAGGAAATTGCAAATCTGTACTTCTGCTTCCTGATTTTCCCAAAGTAACCCCCTCCTTACTCGAGAACACCCTGCTTAACAATGGAACAGTCCCCATAGTCTACTCACTGTAATGATATTGTCTCGTGGATTGAGCCAATCCACTGTGGATGCAGGGCTACCGTTTGCCTCACAAAGAAAGGTTGCAGTCCCTCCCAAGATGACTGTTATGGGCTCAGGTGTAACAAAGAAGCCTGGTCGACCTATATTTTCAAAAAAATTCATAAAGGACAAAAAATAAATAAATGATTGTTAAATTAATCTTTAAAATGTGATAGCAGGTTCTGAGAAGCGATGGGCCCTGTTTCACAAAACATGTTATCAAAGACAAGTCACAATAAATGATATGTATGATCTACTAAAACTGCATTATATCATTTGTAAATGATTTGTCAAAGGAGAGTAGCAGTTATCATTAAACAACGCACAGTATCATGAAATGGTGCTTTAAAGTGAAGTGCTCCTATCAATTTCCTGGACTTTTCCCTTGGTTGTAGCAGTTATCATTGTCAATGTGAAGCATGTTAAACTTTATGTCATCACAAGAAAACCGCCTCTGTTTTGCAGCGTCATAACCAAACGTGCCATTAGTTGATGACTAGGCTTGGTAAGGTTCTATGAATATAGGTATGTCCTCGTCAGCTCGAGATTGCCAAATAGCCCACTATTTCTGATTTGGGAAATGAGCTTGAAGTTACAAATCGCGCCTTCATCAGCCCGAGATTCGACCTCAAAACTCAAAACTCAAGCTCCAGATATTTTGCTCAGCGTTCGCGCATAGTGCGAGTCTCTCGGCTGGTGAAGACACACCGGACAAATAGCAGGATATTTTGCGAACTAGCCCAAGATATCTTGGGATAATTATCTCTACCAAATATCCCGCTAATTGCAACTGTGGGCTGATGAAGATAGTTAAAATAGCGGTTATTTGGCAATCTCCAACTGATGAAAACAGGCCTTATGAGCCTTGACCACAACTACCTGATTGAGTCGAGGTAGTCATTACAAAATCTTCAAACCCATTAATAGATAGCCCTGGGCCCTGTTTCATGAAACTTGGTATCAATAACAAGTTACAAGCTACTGTTATAAGCTACTGAAATCAAGGTGTATGATTGGCTGAGAGCAAATTTGTCATAGAAATTTAGCATTTGTTATTAATAAAACAAATTATGAAACAGGCCCCAGCTGCATGTTTGGCATAAATCCTTGAACCAACAAACTCACCAATCAGAGTCACTTCTCCCAACTGGCTGAACCTCGTTAGACCAATCAGAAGCCGATTGGTTGCTAGGCAACGGTAGCTTCCTCCATGCTGATGTTCCAGCTCTTTGACTTCTAGCGTGCTCGTTGTAACTCTGCCCGTTTCTGATGTTGTGATATCTGTTGTCATGGAGATGTCATCTCCACTGAGTTGCCAGGTGATAGTTGCCATGGGAACACTGGCTATGGAGCACTGGAGTGTGAGGGCGGAGCCTAGGTTTTGAATGACACTAGTTGGGCTTGTTTGGAAGCTTACACCAAGACCTGGTAGAAACAATGTCAACAAGATGGTTTGTTAGACATGTTGAATAAAAGATGTACAATGTAAGTTGGTCTAGTGGTAAGAGCAGCTTTTCGTCTTTCCCTACAGATACAAACAAACTCTGATGGTCGCTGGTTCAAATCCGAGTCACCTCTTTGGATGGTGAGGTTAAAGGTCATGCATTCCCCAGATGTGAATAATCATATGATTGATTTATGTCTGTAAAAACTCAAGTTCATATGCAAACCCTAAAGCAATACATTGTTTTGGGGTAGCTCAAAATCACCATCTGCCTGAGTTTAAGATTGTAAACTTACAACACAATATTTGTTGAGAAAGTTGAGGTCAGAAATGAGCAAATCTTTAAAAGTCTTGGTGGTGGTAATATGGATTAAATTAAAACTCATTGCTGTAGTTTTATAACATAAAGTTAATGAACAATCAATGCAAATTTTGAAAATCAGTCTGAGAGAGAGAGAGAGAGAGAAAGAGAGAGAGAGGGATAGAAAGAGAAGGGAGAGGCAGAGAGGGACAGAAAAGGAAAAAGCTTGATTGTTTAAGAGAAGGTGTGGAGAAATAATACTCACTTGCCAAAGCCAACGTCACCACATCACTCTCAATCCTCTGCACTCCACTCTGCACCCAGCACTGATAGTTCCCTAGCACCTCCTGGGTCACCGTCTCAATGTACAGGGTACCGTTAGAGAACACAGCTAAGCCATCATCGCCACCGAGCACCGTTTGACCGCCCCTCACCCAGGTGTAGGCTGGCTCCTGACTGCCGATGCTGGCCCTGGCAATGCAGTGCCACCAGAGGGCCTGGTTCAAGAGGACGGCCTGATTGGATGGGGCTTGGGTGAACTGTAAAACAGCAAGAGCTAAAAAAAAAAACAGAAGTTATACATTGTATTCAAAATGTATTATTGTATTATAATAGTGGCAATAGAAAAGTTTACAATATTTACCTTTTAAACTCAATAAGACCAAAAACACACAATTCTACTAATAGAAAATCCATTTCATGCTGAAGAATTGGTGTCACACTAAACATAGTCTTATGAAATACCCCAAGGGCCCCAAACCAGGTCTTAGAAAAACACCAACCTCAAACTTTCCATAATTATTTTTTTTAAAGAAGAACTAAATTAAATTAACAATTTAGAAAAATTATGATAAATGCCTTACTAAAGAGTTTACATTCCATCTTCTTCTATAAATGGACTGCCAAGTTGCACAAATGAACATAAAAACCAGAGTTTGGAAAAAAAATAATACAGACAGAATATGTAGGTTTAACATTGACTTACTGAATCATCCTAGACTACATGGATATTCTAAAAGATTTTTTTTTCTTTTCTTCATTCTAGAGGAAGCAGATATTCTCATTTCCATAACATATCTACATGTATTTGCAAGGCATGTATTTGCAAGCCATGAATTTGCACACATAACATTTTTTGAATGGGCGACAGATGATACCTGCACAAATACCTATGAAATGATAAATTCAATCAATTTCAAATTTGTTTGGTGTCTATAAACTGTAATCTGAACTCTTTCAATAAAAAAAGACAATGCAAATCAATAAAAAAGGGGAAATATTTTTCAAAAAGGTCTACCAGTTTATTATGATTATTTGTTATTATTTCTAATATTCCATTTTTATGTTTATCTTTTCTTATTTATTAATTGATTTCATTGTATTTAACAAGACAATGGGGGGGGGGGGGGGTGGGGGTAAAATTAAAGCTTGTGAAGTTTATTTAATTACCATATTTACTAGTTACGCAGACAAGAAACAGGAAAATCAGTTCACAAGCCATGTAGAGCCCCATGCCGCCCAAGTCACTTACGTACAGTCTGCAGCATAACCTGGGAAGAAACAAAAACACATGAAGCAATAAAAAAAGTAAAACATCCATCTCCTACTCTTTCATGATTCTCTCTTTTGTATATTGATAGACTAGTAGTAGAAGTAGTAGTAGCAGTAGTAGTAGTAGATTTACTATTATTAGTAGTAGTAGATCTAGTAGTAGTAGTAGTAGTAGTAGTAGTAGTAGTAGTAGTAAAAGTAGTAGTAGTAGTAGTAGTAGTAGTAGATCTAGTAGCAGTAGTAGTAATAGTAGTAGTAGGAGTAGTAGTAGATTTACTACTAGAAGTAGTAGTAAATCTAGTAGTAGTAGTAGTAGTAGTAGTAGTAGTAGTAGTAGTAGTAGATCTAGTAGTAGAAGTAGTAGTAGTAGTAGAAGTAGTAGTAGTAGTAGATGTAGTAGTAGTAGTAGTAGTAGTAGTAGTAGTATAGTGTATACTGATTACAACTTTTAACAAATTCATAACTTTCTTATATCTAGTCAGATTTAATTGAAACTTGCATCAGTTTGCTTCTCTGATTTTTCTGTTTTGTTTTAGAGTAGTTGTCTCCTTAGGTTGGATCTCCCTTTAAAGCTGGGAGTGACTATACAGGGAGGTTATACATTGTGGTGCCGAGCCCTAGGGCGATGTGCAGGGGAGAAACTACCACTGGGTAACTGACTGCAGAGTAAATCTCGCACTATTAGTGCCGTGTCTCGTACCTGTCATCCCTCCTTGGCGTCGGGGTGTGCTCAGCTGTATATATATACCCCATACTAAAACATAGGAGTATAATTAGGGAAACGTTACTCGAACATAAAAGGGTGAGGATGTTATGCAGAGAGTTAGGAGAGGGTAACTTGTTTGCAGAGTAGATAGCTCACATCAACAGTTTCTCTTCCCCCTGCTACCTCCTTTCTCTGTGGTGTTTGTCGAACCGCACAAGCCGATAAAGATTAATTGTTTACTTCCCAGTCCCATTAGTTAGTTATATACCGGTGCTCTTTTAGTTCAAGGGTCACAAAGTCCACAACATTGGATGCCTGTGCTTATACTCCAGTTCTCTCAGTATTCTTCATCACTTTTTGAACTTAAGATCTTAACGTAGCATGCACTGCGATGCCCATGATTATATGTTAAGTAACGGATATAAAAGATGGATGCAGGGCTGTCAACTTTGGGGTACTGCTTTGAGGGAGATTGAATGCAATTTTTTTTTTTGGCTCAACACTCAACAGGGAAGGGGGTGTTGGGCAGCGCTCAAAATACACGGGGGCGGTGGGCGATTCGCCCCCGTGAGCTACATAATCGCCCCCGTCAGGTTGCTCACGGGGGCGATTGCAAAATTAAAAATCGCCCCCGTGGAATTATAAAATAAAGATTATCTTTTCTGTTATAACTTTAACATAATATTGAGTTTCAATTTTTAAACCTTAAACCAATGAAATTGAACTTAGATTAGCGTGCAAGATTTCTCGTTTTTATGAGTATAGGCCTATTCAGCTCGCAGTGCCGCCGTCAGCAGTGGTTATAGGCCTACTGCGCCGTTAGTAGCGGTATGTGTGCACGCTGCCGCGCCATGTCTGCTCGAGCTGGAGGCGATCGCGAATTACGAAAGGGCAGAAACATGGTCATGAAGAAGTTTTTCGTTGTGAAAGCGTTAACCCGCTGAAATCTGGTGATTTCAAATGACCAGCAAATAATGAACCTCGACCAGTAAATCAATATTAGGGACTTATAGATTTGCACGATGAGAACGTGGACTGCTACGTGTGACCTCCTTTTAAGGCAGTGCCAGTGCTTAAAAGGACGTCACAGTCATGTGACTGCCAGTGCACGTCCACGCAAATCTAAAAGTCCCTATTGAGAAGAAGAGGAAGACCAAGATGTCGTGGAATAATATGGTAACATGGGCAGATCTACGGGGGGAGGATAAGGGGGTTTAACCCCCTCCTCCCAGCCCCCCGGCGCCCCCTTGGGCTGCCAAGTGAAAATGTGAAATTAAAGCGGGGGGGGGGGGGGGGGGGGGATGCTGGAGAGGAGGACTACTCTATTTTATTTTTTTCAGGGGGGGGAAGTGAAGCGCCGTTTTAGCATGACTTTCTTTTTAACTCTTACTTTCACCTATCTCAGATAACCCTAAGTTTCTGGTTGCTGCTTTATTATGTAGTTGATAATGCATGATTAAAATAAAGAGAGAGAGAGAGAGAGAACCACCATCATTTTGCAATGGTTCATGCAGGGTTCGTGTAATATGAATTTGAAACCATTTCTTAGCGTCTCAATCCTAAAAAAAATAGCAAAACTATTTTTGAGGAAAAGCATTATACTGAATTAAATGAAGAATAATAGCTTTATATTGGATCATACTAATACTGATACGGGCTAAAGACAATGTAGTATTTGTATAGAGGTATTCCAAAAAGACATTCTGATAATCAACATTTGTTCTGGTATCATAAATGTATATACGCATAATACCACTGATCTTTATGATTTCTTAACGTGACATAGCTTCTTCTCCCCCTGCAAACAAAAAAGAAAACAAGGTTATTTAATAAAAGGATCATGCAAAAAAAAAATCATTGTGATTCAAATTGATGCAAGGATTTTTTTTGAATAAGCAATGCTTTTCACCAGAATCTTCTTTGTTAAAACGACTTTTACAAATCTCAGCCATGCAAATCTGCCACTGTGTTGTAAGATCACTTTCAGATTAGGAGAAGTGTATTCTTTAATGAGTATTTTACATTGAATGGAACGTCTCAACTCAGTATAAAGCATGGCTGAGATTTGTAAAAGTTGTTTTTACAAAGAAGATTCGGGTGAATAGCAGTGCTTATTCAAATAAATATTCGCATCAATTTGAATCACAATCATTATTTGTCGCTTAATCCCTTTTAATGACCTTGTTTTCTTTCTCGTTTGCAAGGGGAGAAGAAGATATGTCACGTTAAAGACATCATAAAGATCAGTGTTGTATGCGTATATTATACACAGGCCAGTAACAGCTATGTAGCTTGTAAATTTGTAAGAGGGAAAATGCTGATTGAAATGATAATGATGAAATAGCACATAATTGAGGAGTATCATAGGTACCAATTCAATTGATATTAGTATAAAAAAAAGAGCCCCCGTCAGTACTAAAAGAGCCCCTGTGAGAAGGCTCACGGGGGCTCTTTTTTTGGGGGAAGAGCCCCCGTGGACAAAAAATTAATTTGAGCCCTGGTGTTGGGTATGAAAAAAAAATTGAAGTGCTCACTACCCCCCTCGGGCGGGCCACGCCTGCGTGGAACTGTCTACCGTAATGAGGATCTGACGGTAGATAACTTCACACAGGCGCGCGCCTGCCTGCCATCCACCATCATCACCATCATCCTATGCACTTGTAATGTATTGTGCAGCTGTTTGCTGTGAAACCTGTGAAAAGGTGTATCTACCGGTACTAATATCAAAGTTTTTCCTAAAAATCCACCCCAAAAAAGAAAGTAAATTGACACGAAACAGGTAAGAAACATGCAACTTTTCAATCATGAACTAATTTATTTGGAAATTTTGATGAATATTTACTTCATTTTGGGTAAGCCTAGGATCTATAGGTCTAGACTATGTTTTAGTACATAGAGGATCTAGTAGTAGGGTAGACTATCTCCACGCCGGAGTTACGGCTCAAATTTTGGATAGACTTCTAAACTAGCGCCACACCAACACCAACACCAAACTTGAAATCATGAATTTCCCAATCCCTAGGGGCTGGTGTTGTGAATGGGAAAATTACATCATGATCAAAAATCATCAACAGACAACAATGATCAGCAACACCAACCGCGATACTCAATCAATTCAGCAGACGACATTCAACAGCTCTCAACAACACAGACTACCGGAAATGCATCATAATTTCTGAGGTCAACCTCAACACAAGCATGATTTCAAGTTCAGTGTTGTAGCTGGTGTTGGTGTTCTCACAACACCGAAAGACCAAACTTGAAACCACTCAGTGCAGTGATCACGCCACGCCGCACCCCGCCCTATCCTTATCCTAAAGGGGGCTGCGCGGCGGCACTCGGCCTACGGTACGCCAGGACAGCACCAGTCCAGGCCAGGCCAGGCACACACGAAAAATAACAACAATTAAATAAGTTATAAAGTCGATCAACTTCAAATATATTTATTTCGAATGATCATGTTTCTTTCACGGTTAATCTATGAAGCGTGACTTACTGAATCCATATGACTGGGATGAGAAAATGACGATAAATTTGACATGAAAAAAAAAAATTCTCCTGCCGTTGTTTCGTGCGTTGATCCTGGCCGGAATCACGTAGATTATTGGTATCCGAAAAAGGCCAATTTAACGGTGCCAATTTAATGACGACTTTATGAAACTAGCGATTCATTATAGTGTAAAAGGCATGGAGATTGTCGCCGAATGCGAATCCCACTGGTGCGAAAGAGCATTATTCTAAAAACGTATCCGAAGTATATTCATTTTTTTTTACAGGACAAGTTACGTAGTCTCTCATCCAGGGTCATTATTATATTTTTGTTTCTAAATTTTTCCTTTCTTGTTTGCTTCAGTGTTAGAGTATTTTTCGGATTTGTGTTGACCATCGGTCGAGTGCTGTAATAGTAAACAAATCCTGGCTTCATGCACGGTATCAGGGGCGGGGGGGGGGGGGCGTTGGGCGGGGGGGGGGGGGGGGGTGGAGGCGGGGAACGTTTTTTTTGGGGGGGGGACACGTCTCCCCTCATTTTTTTTTAAGGGGGATCGTCCCTCCCCCCTCAAAATTTGAAAATGTGCCCCCGAAAAAGGTAGCAAATACTAAAGACTGCAACAAACTTAGGTTCTGGAGGGCCCAAAAGTGCAGCGTGTAGACAAATAAAAATGCAAAAATCTTTTCACTCGGAAGCTACGCTCCCTTGCATAATAACCTTCTAAATGTATAAGTAAATAGGCCTACTGAGCAAAACGAAGTGTGAAAAAAGTTTATTGCTTGTTTTTATACTATAGTTTTGCTAAGAAATGTAATTTTTTAATAAAACCAAAACTTCAAAAATCCGTAAGGGGTAGTCCCTCTCATTCACTATGCTCCCTCGCAATATTGATGGGGGGGGGGGAGCTTTGGGGAAGTCCCCCCCTCAAAAAAAATCATTCAAACGTGGTTTATTTCTAATTCGATACCAGTGATTTACAAATGTTGCTGAAATGGCATTTTCCCTGACTTTCCGGGGGCTCTGCCCCCTGGACCTTACGGTCCACTTGCTTCGCTCGGCTTGATCTACCTGATCGTAAATACTTTAGCCAGGACCTGAGTAACATGTAAGAGTGATGGTGATGCGGGTTCTTTTCTGCCCCCCCCCCCCAAACGTTTTTCCTCATTACGCCACTGCTCCCTCGTCCCTCGCATTTTGCCCCCCCCCCCCCCCCCCGGTCGTGAAAGGAAATCGCCGCCCCTGCACGGTATGCACCATTATCAAATTCGATCTAAACAAAATAATGTCACTGCATCATTCTAAATTCAGTCAGCCTCTTTTGGGCTGCCACGCAAAATAATGTGGAAAACTTTGCGACATTTTAGTCAGGATGTTAAAGCCCGTCTGTACTAGTTTGGCCGGGGGGGGGGGGTTAGACCACACAGAGTGGTCACTGACAGGTGGCTATCTCATCAACTCAGCTCTCGATTAACATAACAAAAAGTGGATCATGGGTGACCAACGGGCACCGTTTAGGCGTTGTTTTCTCTCCAGAGGGCCAATTAGCTACAAGTAGTACAGTGGGGATTCTAAAAACAGAAATAGCACGTATTTTGTTCTTCTTCTAATTCCGATATTTACTTCAAGCTTGCTAATATCAACATTATTATTTGTATTCCCGATTTCTTTAGATTTCTTTGGATATATTGTTGTTGATTCTTAATTTTAGAAAACGGTCATTATTCATAAGGGTCATCATTCATATTTAATGACCCCGATTCATAATCGAAAATGAGGGTTGCCATCATAATTATGAGAAGAGGGTCGTACTCGCTATAATACAAAATCGGGTCGAAATTCATAGGCCTAAGGGTCCCTATTCATAATACGAAATAAGGGTCGCTATTCATAATACGAGAAGAGGGTTGCTAGTCATAAAAATCACATAGCAAACAAAATGATAAGAAAGGGAAATGTTGGCTGTGGCGTAGCTCTGGGGGGGGGCGACACATGGCCCCGAATATTTGTCGCAAACATTATGAAAATTTACTTTCGTGACAAGACGAGATAGTTTACAAGCAAACCACCTCATCAGGCCCATATAAATAAATATGAATGTCTGACATCTGACTGTCCGAGTCGTCATCATAAGCGTAGAAGGCGAGGGGAAATATTTCATAATGTAGATGTGTTTGTTTTATAATGATCTATCTTGTTTAATGACAATTCACGTCAGCCTTACTCCTCGTTTGTTTTGTTCCCTTTATTGTATTTTTTTATTTTGTTTTGGCTATTTAATGTCATTGACTCTTTATATTTTGTGTGTGAACCTGTATGGATGCATACGTGTATTTGAATAATTAATACGTGTATTTTATCTGTTGCTTAGGATTTATCAGGTCTCGAATTAATTAATATTAACTTTCCTGAACCTGCATGCACATTTGTATTTACATTCCGTTTTTTTTTTTGTGTTTGTTATGTATTCATCATTATATCCTGCCCCCTTGTTGCTACGAGGAGGGCTAGATATCCCACCCCAATTATAAACAAAAACAAATTCATCACGGCATTTATTTTTATTTATTTTTCGCACTAGACCTTATCAAAACCTTCTGACCCATCACCACAAGGCGTCGCTAGACCTTTTTTCAACGGGACGGAGAGGGGGGGGGGGGTGTAGAGGCCACCGATTATCGACAAAACTAGCCACCAATATTATTACCGACAAATATACTAATGCCAATGTCCCAATATCAACACATTTCACCCTATAAACACGGGGCTAAGAGCTAAATTAACGTGTCAAAGATCTTGAAAGTTGTATTCATGATGTACGAAAATGGATGAATGATTGCTATCTCAAACTAAATGACGATAAAACAGAATTTCTCTTGTTAGGCTCCAGACAACAACTTTCCAAGATTGTTATAACTCATATACGTGTTGGTTCTGTGCACATTGCTCCTTCAGATAAGGCAAGAAATCTTGGTGTCATTTTCGATACAAGCATGTCTCTTGATGCACATATTTCAAAATGTGTGAAAGCTGCCAATTATCATCTTCGTAATCTTCGCGCTATAAGGAAATTTTTAACCCCCAAACCACTCAACAATTGATTCATGCTTTTGTAACATCTCATCTCGATAACTGTAACTCTCTCCTTTATGGACTTCCTAAATACCAAATTCACAAACTACAAAAGGTTCAAAACGCAGCTGCCCGCCTTGTCACTAAATCTAAACGATCGACCCATACTACTCAAATACTCAAGAAACTTCACTGGCTTCCAATAGAACAGCGTATCAAATATAAAATTCTACTACTCACCTACCGTTCACTAAATGGATCAGTCCCTGAATATATTTTCTCTCTTTTTAATATCTCTTTAAGTTCTCGTGCAGGTATTCGTTCCTCTAATTCAACAAATTTAACACAATTAAGAACAAAGAGGAGTTGGGGAGACAGAGCTTTTACAGCTGCTGCACCCCGGTTATGGAACTCCCTACCCCATTCAATCAAAATGTCAGCCAATCAAAATGTGTTCCAAAAACAATTGAAAACCTATCTAATGTCTGAGTTCCTTAGTTAAGACGTAGTGTATTTCAAAATATGATGTAATTAACGTTGTTGAATTATATTTGATTATGTTAAATTATTTTCGTTCAATGTACTTACCTTGTTAGGCGCCTTGAGTCTCTCTTGGGGTGGATATGTGCGCATTACTTTTTTTTTTCAGTGCGAAAGCTTTGACATTTCATTAAATTGTTAAAGAAAGAAGACGATTCGTTATACCTTTCCCGACTCGTAATCCTATTCTGAATTTAGTTTTCCCCCTCCCACGCGGAGCGCTGAAGCTTTGACATTTCATTAAATTATTAGAGAAAGAAATTCTCAATCGCAGTTCCCGGCCTCTTCCGCTTTGCCTTTTTTTAATTATTAGAGAAAGAAGACGATTCGTTGTAGCGTTCTCGACTCTTAATCCTAGTCTGAATTCAATTCACCCCCCCCCCCCCTCCTCTCCCGCGCGAAGCGCTGAAGCTTTGACAGTTCATTAAATTATTAGAAAGAGAAGACGATTCGTTGTACAGTTTTCCATTCCTAATCCTTGTCTGAATTCAGTTCCCGGCCTCTTCCGCCTTGCCGTTTTTTTTTATTTATTAGAGAAAGAAGACGATTCGTTGTACCGTTCTTGATTCTTAATCCTAGACTGAATTCAGTTCCCCCCTCCCGCACGAAGCGCTGAAGCTTTGACATTTCATTAAATTATTAGAGAAAGAAGACGATTCGTTGTACCGTTCTCGACTCTTAATCCTAGTCTGCATGAATTCAGTTGCCCCCCTCCTGAGCGAAGCTTTGACATTTCATTAAATTCAACTGGGTTCTTTAATGTACGACTTCGATTCTGGTGTCCTTCCACAGGCTCTAGTCAGCATTTTTAAGAAAAATAGTCAAGTTCATGACCATGCTACACGAAATGCCTCTGCGTTTCACTTACCCCAAGTAAGGACAAAGTAACTTTTAATACTTTGGTTTTTACTGGACCTAAATTTTGGAACTCTCTAGGCTCTAGCGTTAAGCAATCTGTTAGTCTCTCTTCATTTAAGTGTAAACTTAAGGTTTATCTTCTCGATAAATACTGTGACTCATAGAGTAGTTCATTTAATTTTTGTAGTTATTATGGTGCCAAGATATATTATGTATTACTATAAATGTAAATTTTCTTCTTGATATTAATATGTGTCTAACTGAATATTTTCAGATTGTCAACCTCTTATTCCCTCCCCCTGTTGTCTTGTGCCCGTTGTGTGCTGTGCCTATTGTCGATGTCCTGTAGTCTTCTATTATTTCTCATATTTTCTATTTTCTCCCGTCTTGTCTAGTCTCGTCTCTCGTTTTGTTGTTGTTGTTGTGTGTGTGTACACTTCTTGTTTTGTTATACCCCCTTTTCCCTATTGTATTCTTAGGTAGTCACAAATATCTATTCATCATGTTTTATCCGGCTCAGAGGGGACCCTAATAATTACAAGCTCTGCTTTTACCAGGGTCTCCTCGCCTTTCTTTTAGTTAACTTTGTTTTTATCATTGCCATAATT